AGTGCTCCAGACGAAGTGCTCCAGACGAAAGTTCTCTGGACGAATGTGCACCAGACATAGTGCTTCTGACGAAGTGCTCCAGATGAAGTGCAGTAGACGATGTGCACTAGACGGAAGTGATTTAGACAAAAGTGCACCACACGAAAGTGCACCATATGAAGTGCTGCAGACGAAAGTGCCCCATAAGAAGTACTCTAGACGAAGTGCTCCAGACGAATGTGCTCCTGACAAAGTGCACCAACCGAAGTGCTCCAGACGAAGTGCTCCAGACGATGTGCTCCAGATAAAGTGCTTCAGACGAAAGTGCACCGGATGAAGTGCTCAAGACGAAGTGCTCCGGACAAAGTGCTCAAGATGAAGTGCTCCGAACGAAGTGCTCTAGACGAAGTGCTCCAGACGAAGTGCTCCTGACGAAAGTGCTCCAGACGAAGTGCTCTAGATAAAGTGCTCCTGACAAAAGTGCTCCAGACGAAGTGCTCCAGACGAATGTGCACCAGACTAAGTGCTCCGGATGTAGTGCTCTAGACGAAGTGCTCTAGACGAAAGTGCACCAGACTAAGTGCTCCAGACAAAGTGCTCTTGACCAAGTGCTCTAGACGACAATGCTCTAGACGAAAGTGCACTTGAAAGTTCTCGATACGAAAGTGCACGAGAAGAATGTGGACCAAATGAAGTGCTCCAGACGAAGTGCTCCAGATGAAGTGCTCTAGACAAAGTGCAGTAGACAATGTGCACCAAACGAAACTGATTTAGACGAAAATGCACCAGACGATGTGCTCTAGATGAAGAGCTTTAGACGAAGTGCACAAGACTAAGTGTACCAGACGTAGTTCACCAAAACGAAGTGCACCAAACGAAATGCTGCAAACGAAGTGCTCCAGACGAAGTTCTCTATACGAAAATGCTCTCCAAACAAAAGTGCTCCAGATGAAGTGCTGCAGACGAAAGTGCTCTAGAAGAAGTGCTCTAAACGAAGTGCTTTGGACGAATGTGCTCCAAGCAAAGTGCACCAAGCGAAGTGCTCCAGACAAAGTGCTCCAGACGATGTGCTTTAGACAAAGTGTTCCAGACGAAGTGCTCCAGACGAAAGTTCTCCAGACGAATGTGCACCAGACAAAGTGCACCAGGCAAAAGTGCACCAGACGAAGTTCACTAGACGAAAGTGCTCCAGACGAAATGCTCCAGATGAGCGTGCTCCAAACAAAAAAGCACCAGAAAAAGTGCTCCAGCCGAAAGTGCTCCAGACGAAGTGCTCCGAAAAAACGTGCTCCAAATGAACGTGCTCTTGACGAATAAACACCGAACGAAGTGCTCCAGACAAAGTGCTCGAGACGAAGTGCTCCAGACAAAAGTGATCCAGACAAAAGTGCACCAGACGAAGTTCACCATACGAAAGTGCTCTGGACTATGTGTTCTAGACGGAGTGCTCGAGATGGAGTGCACCAAACGAATGTGCTCCAGATGGATAAGCACCAGACAAAGTGCTTCAGACGAAAGTGCTCCAGATAAAGTGCTCCAGACGAACTGCTCGAGACCAAGTGCTCCTGACCAAGTGCTCTAGACGAAAGTGCTCTAGTAAAAAGTGCACCAGACGAAGTGCTCCATACGAATTGCTCCAGACGAAGTGCTCCGAGCGAAGTGCTCCAGAGGAAAGTGCTCCACACGAAACTGCTCCAGACGAAAGTGCTCCAGACAAAAGTGCTCCAGACGAAGTGCTCTAGAGGAAGTGCTCTAAACGAAGTGCTCTAGACGAAGTTCTTGATACGAAAGTGTTCTAGACGAAAGTGCTCCAGATGAAGTGGTGCAAACGAAAGTGCTCGAGCAGAAGTTCTCTAGACGAAGTGCTCCAGACGAAGTGTTCCAGATGATATGCTCCAGACAAAGTGCTCCAGACGAAAGTGCTCCAGACGAAGTGCTCCAGACAAAGTGCTCCGGACGAAGTGCTTAAGACGAAGTGCTCTAGACGAAGTGCTCCAGGCGGAGTGCTCCAAACGAAGTGCTCCAGACAAAGTGCTCTAGATGAAAGTGTACCAGACAAAGTGCTCCAAACAAACTACTCCAGATGAAGTGCTCCAGACGAAGTGCACCAGACAAAGTGCTCTAGATGAAGTGCTTCAGATGAAGTGCACGAGATGAAGTGCACCAAACAATAGTGCACCAGACGAGGTTCTCCAAACCAAGTGCTCCACACGAAGTGCTCCAAACGATGTGCACCAGACGAAGTGCACAAGACGAAGTGCTCCAAACGAAGTGCACCGGACGAATTTCTTCAGACGAAGTGCTCCAAACGAAGTGCACCAGACGAATTGCACCACACAAAAGTGCACCAAACAAAAGTGCCCAAGACTATGTGCTCCACACGAAGTGCTCCAAACAAAGTGCTCAAGACGATGTGCTCTAGACGAAGTGCTACAGACGAAAAAGCACCAGACGAAGTGCTCTAGGCAAAGTGCTCCAGACGAAGTGCACCAGGCAAAGTGCTCCAGACAAAGTGCTCTAGACGAAAGTGCACCAGACGAAATTGCTCTAGACAAAGTGCTCCAAACGAAGTGCTCCAGCTGAACTGCACCCGACAAAGTGCACAAAACGATGTGCACCAGACGAAATGCCGTGCATTAGACGACTGTGCTCCAGACGAAAGTTCTCCAAACGAAACTGCTCTAGACAAAAGTGCTCTAGAAGAAAGTGCTCCAAACAAAGTGCTCCATACGAAGTGCTCCAAACGAAGTGCTCTAGACGAAGTGCACCAGACGAAAGGCTGCGGACGAAAGTGCACCAGGCGAAGTGCTCCTGCTGAAAGTGTTTTAGGGGAAAGTGCACCAGACAACGTGCTCTAGACAAAGTGCTCCAGCTGAAGTGCACCCGACGAAATGCACAAGACGATGTGCCATGCTTCCGACGAAAGTGCTCTAGAAGAAAGTGCTCCAAACAAAGAGCTCCATAAAAAGTGCACCAGACGAAGTGCATTAGACGAAGTGCTCGGGACGAAGTGCACTAGAGGAAGTGCTCCAGACAATGTGCTCCGGACGAATTGCACCAGACAAAGTGCACATGACAACGTGCTCCAGACGACGAGCTCTAGACGAAGTGCACCAGGTGGAGTGCTCCGGACGAAGTTCTCCAAACGAAAGTGCACCAGACAAAGTGCACCAGACGAAGGTGCTCTATACAAAGTGCTCTAGCCAAAGTGCACTAGACAAAGTGCTCTGGACAAAGTTCTCTAGACGAAGTGCACAAGATAAAGTGCACGAGACAAAGTGCTCTAGACAAAGTGCACTAGACGAAGTGCAAAAGACGAAGTGCTCTAGACAAAGTGCTCCAGACAAGTGCACCAGATTAAGTGTAGGGGATGAAGTGCTCTTGAAGAAGTGCTCTAGACAAAGTGCTCCAGATGAAGTGCTCCAGACGTACTGCACAAGACGAAGTGCTCTAGAGGAAGTGCTCTAGATGAAGTGCTCTAGGCGAAGGTGCTTGAGTCGAAGTGCTCCATACAAAGTGCTCCTGTCAAAGTGCTCCTGACGAAGTGCTCCAAACGAATGTGCTCCAGACAAAGTGCACCAGAGGAAGTGCACCAGACTAAGTGCTCGAGACGGAGTGCATCAGATGAAGTGCACAAAATGAAGTGCTCCAGACAAAGTGCTCCCGACAATGTGCTACAGACCAAGTGGACAAGACGAAGTGCACAAAACAAAGTGCTCTAGACGAAGTGCTCAAGAAGAAGTGGTCCAAACGAAGGTGCTCGAGACGAAGTGCTCCAGACAAAGTGCACCAGACGAAGTGCTCCAGACAAAAGTGCTCCAGACATGGTGCACCAGAGGAAGTGCACCAGACAAAGTGCTCGAGACAGAGTACACCAGATGAAGCGCACAAAAAGAAGTGCTATAGACAAAAGGCTCCCGACGAAGTGCTCCAGACCAAGTGCACCAGATGAAGTGCACAAGACAGAGTCCTCCGGACAAAGGGCTCAAGAAGAAGTGCTCCAATTAAAATGCTCCAGACGATGTGCTCTAGACGAAATGCTCTAGACGAAGTGCTCCAGACAAAGTGCTCCAGATGAACTGCTCTAGACGACGTGCTCCAGACGAAGGTGCTGGAGACGAAGTGCTCCAGACGAAATGCTCATGACGAAGTGTTCCAGGCGAAAGTGCTCCAGACAAAGTGCACCAGATGAAGTGCACCAGACGAAGTCCACCCGAAGAAGTGCACAAGAGGAAGTGCTCCAGACAAAGTGCACCAGACGAAGTTTAAAGGACAAAGTGCACAAGAGGAAGTGCTCCAAACGAAGTGCTCTAGACGATGTGCACCAGACGAAAGTGCACCAAACGAAAGTGCACTAGATGATGAGCACCAGACGAAGGTGCACCAGACGAAGTGCACCAAACGAAAGTGCACCAAATGAAGTGCACCAGACGAAGTGCGCCAGACGAAGTGCACCAGACGAAGTGCACCAGACGAAGTGCTCCAGATGAAGTGCTCCAAACGAAGTGCGCCAGAAGAAGTGCACGAGACGAAGTGCTCCTGACGAAGAGCTCCATACGAAGTGCACCAGACGTAGTGCACCAGATGAAGTGCACAAGACAAAGTGCTCGCGAAACAATTCACCAGACGAAGTCGAGACAAAATTGCTCCAAACAAAGTGCTCTAGACGAAGTGCAACAGACGAAGTGCACGAGACGAAGCGCACCAGCAACAAAATGCTATAGACGAAGTGCACAAGATGAAGTGCACCTGACAAAGTGCACGAGACGAAGTGCCCGCGACGTAGTGTTCCAGTTAAAGTGCTCCAAACGAAGTGCACCAGACGAAGCGCACCAGATGTAGTGCTCTATAAAAATTGCTTCAAACATAGTGCTCTAGACGAAGTGCACCAAACGAAGTGCACAAGACGAAGTGCACCACACGATTGTGCTCCAGATGAAAGTTCTCCAAACGAAGTGCTCTAGATGAAAGTCCTCTAGACGAAGTGCTCTAGACGAAGTGCTCCAAACGAAAGTGCACCAGATGTAGTGCACCAGACGAAGTTCACTAGACGAAGTGCTCCATGCAAAATGCACCAAACGAAGTGCACAAGACGAAGTGGTCTAGACGAAAGTGCCCCAGACAAAATGCTCCAGACAAAGTGCACCTGACAAAGTGCACTCAACGTAGTGCACCTGACAAAGTGCACACGACAAAGTGCTCCAGATGAAGAGCTCGAGACGAAGTGCTCCAGACGAAGTGCACCAGATGAAGTGCACCTGATGCAGTGCTCCAAACAAAGCTTTTCAAACGGAAGTGCACCAGAAGACGTGCTCCAAACGAAAGTGCACCAGACGAAGTGCTCTAGTTGTAGTGCTCCAGTCGAAGTGCTCCGAATGAAGTGCACCAGACAAAGTGCACAAGACGAAGTGCTCCAGACGAAGTGCTTCAGATGAAGTGCTCTAGACCAAGTGCTCCAGACGAAGTGCACCATACGAGGTGCACCAGACGAAGTGCTTTAGACGAAGTGCACCAGACGAAGTGCACAAGACGAAGTGCTCAAGACGAAAGTGCTCCACACGAAGTGCTCCTGAAGAAGTGCACTAGACAAAGTGCTCCAGATGAAGGTGCTCCAGACGAAGTGCTCAAGACAAAGAGCTCCTAACGAAGTGCTTGAGATGAAAGCGTTGCAGACAACGTGCACCAGATGAAGTGCACCAGACAAAGTGCTTGAGACGGAATAAACCAGATGAAGAGCACAAAACGAAGTGCTCTAGACAATGTGCTCCAGAGAATTGCTCCAGACGAAGTGCTCAAGACGAAGTGCTCCAGACGAAGTGCTCCAAATGAAATGCTCCTTACAAAATGCATCAGACGAAGAGCTCCAGGCAAAGTTCTCCAAACGAAAGTGCACCGGAGGAATTGCTCCAAAGAAAGGTGCTCCAGGTGAAGTGCTCCAGACGAAGTGCTCCAGACAAAGTGCTCCAAACGAAGAACACCGGACAAAGTGCTCTAGACGAAGTGCTCTAGACGAAGTGCACCAGACAAAGTGCTCCAGACGAAGTGCGGCAGACAAAGTGCACCAGCCGAAGTGCACCAGACGAAGTACACCAGACGAAGTGCACAAGAGGAAGTGCTCCAGACGAAGTGCACCAGACGAAGTTCTTCAGACGATGTGCACCAGACGAAGTTCTTCAGACGACGTGCACCAGACGAAGTTCTTCAGACGACGTGCACCGGACGAATGTGCACCAGACGAAACTGCACCACACGAAAGTGCACCAGAGGAAGTGCTTCACATGAAGGTGCACTAGACAAAGTTGCTCCAGACGAAAGTGCACCAGTCAAAGTGCACCAGACGAAAGTCGTGTGCGGGTTGAACTGTAGCTGATGCTGTCGGTTTTTGTGGCGTGAGCAGGTGGCGTCCGTAGCTAAGGAAGAACGGTGCCTGTCCAATAGCGGTGTGAGTGGCATTGTTATAGGCAAACTCCAGGACGGGCATATGCAAGTCCCATTGAGAGATTTCGTCCTTGCATGCTGCGCGGAAAAGTTGCTCTACAATTTGGTTGAGGCGCTCGGTCTGTCCATCTGTCTGCGGATGGTAGGCGGATGACATGGAGAGTTTGGTCCCGAGCAGAGACATCATTTCCTTCCCGGACTTGCTGGTGAACTTGGGGCCTTGGTCGGAGATGAGTGTGGTTGGAATGCCATGCTGAGAGATGATGTACCGAACGAATAGTTGTGCTGCTTCTTCGGTGCGTGCTGTCGTGTGTGTCGGGATGAAGTGTCCCATTTTGGAGAGTTTGTCGATGACAACGAGGATTGCGTCATGATCGCTAGTGGTAGTTGGTAACCCGGTGATGAAATCCAGGCTAACCACTTGCCATAGTTGTTCTGGGATAGGAAGAGGCTATAGCAGTCCTGCTTTTTTCTGCTTGCTGCTCTTCATCCGCTGACATGTGACACACGAGGTGACGAATTGTTGGACGTCGGCTGCCATGTGGGGCCAGTAGTAGTGCTTTGCAATACCGGTGAGCATCTTGTTGCTACCAAAGTGCCTCGCGTATAGGACATCGTGGTATTCTTCGAGTAGTAACTGACGCAAAGGAGGGTAATTGGGAACCCGGATTTTCGTTGATCCCTTTCGGTATGCGATGTCACTGTCCCACTGTAGCAGGTGCCGTTTTGCTGCTAAAGGAATTTCGGGGTCGATGGCGTACCCGTGAGTGAAGAGTCCCTTGAGAAGTGGGTTCATCCCTTCGACTTGGATGGCGGCAACGTGTGCAGGCCAACTGAGAGCATCTGCTTATTTTTTGTGGCCGAGCTTGTACACGATGTCATAGTGGAAGTGCGTCTCGAGGAAGTCAATCCACCGGACATGCCGCCTGGAGAGGTTTGGTTGTGTCTTCAAATATTTCAGGCTACAGTGGTCGGTGTAAATGGTTGTTTGTCGTCATTCGAGATAACATCTCCATGTTTTGAAGGCGATGATAATAGCGAAGGCCTTCCCCTGGTCTTACATCAAGACTCCTCTCACTGCCCGGTCACTGGCGTCAGCTTCGATGACGTAGTCGCGTTCGGGGTCTGGCAAGATGAGTACAGGCGCGGACGTGAGTGCTTGTTTCAGCTGCTCCATGGCTTCCTGGTGCTTTGGTTCCCAGTTATAGGGCGTGGTCTTCTTCAGCCAATTCGTGAGTGACGTTGCGATTTTTGCGTACTGTGGCACGAACCTGTTGTAGTAGTTAGCGAAGCCTAGGAACTGCTGCAACTTCTTCACGTTCTCAAGTGTCTTCCACATGCGTACGGCTTCGATCTTCTTGGGGTCGACATGAAATCCTTGAGCGCTCACCATGTGTCATAGGAATTGGACATTCTCGAGGGCAAATTCGCTCTTGGATAACTTGACGTAGAATCGTTCTCATCGGAGAATGTCGAAGACGCGTCGCATGTGTTAGACGTGTTGCTGCATGTCGCGCAAGTAGATGGGAATGTCGTCCAGGTACACCACCACGCATTTGTCCAAGAGTGGGCAAAGGATATGGTTAATTTCAGCTTGGAAGGTTGCCGGTGCGTTGGTGAGTCCGAACGGCATTACCAGATACTCGTACGACCCGTATGGAGATCGGAAGGCAGTTTTGTGGATGGAATTGTCCGTCATTCGTATCTGCCAGTATCCGTACCGCAGATCCAGTTTGGAAAATACCGTGGCTCCCCGAAGCTAGTCAAGCATGTCATCGATTCGTTGAATTGGGTATTTGTTATTGATGGTCTGCTTGTTGAGAGCTTGGTAATCGATGCACATGCGCGGGCTTCCGTCCGGTTTCGGTGTGAAGAGTACTGGGGCACCATATGGCGAAGTGGATGGTCGGATGAGTCCATTGGCGAGGAGATACTCGATCTGCTTCTTCATGTCGGCTAGTTTTGTGAGGCTTAGCCGATATGGTGCTCGGAAGGTCGGTTTCGAACTTGGTTTCTCCACGATCTCGTGTTGGTGCGTTCGGTATGGCGGTAGTTCGTCCGGGAGGTCGCCGGGAAGAATGTCTTTGAACTCCTTCAGTAAGTCCTTGATTTTTTCTGGAGGTTCCGAGGCTTTCTCTCCGTCATTCTCCACCTCTGTTGCTATCGCCAGGAACCCGGTGTCGGTTTGTTTCACGTCCTTCTCGAATCTTGCCAGTGTCTCCACTCGGATATCTCCTGTATCATCCCAGTTGGGTAGCTGGACTCTCCTCCCATTGTTGTAGATGCTTGCGGTACGATTTACCCAGTTGATCTCGGGGTTGAATAGTTTTGGGAAGTCTCGCTCGAAGATCAAGTCAAGCCTTTTTATGTTGGTGATGGGGAGCGCAGGTCTCCAGCGCAGTGGTTCGATTTATAGGTGTAACGCTGCTTCGCCGTGTACTAGTAACCTGCTGCCATCCACCATCGTTGCAGAGAATGCTTAAGGCTTGTACTCTTCCCGAAGTCTGTCGATTATTGCCTTGTTGCAGACGGTGTGTGATGCTCCGCTGTCCACGAGTTCTTGGAGGCGTCGTCTTTTACAGATGACCTCGAGCACGAGGGGCGGGCGTTGCTCGGAGTACCCAAACATAGTTTCGTTAATAGGATCATAGGGTACATCCCAATATTCCGTACACACCTTTTCCTTGCCAGCTGCTCGTGGGTTAGCAGTTGATATGTGCTTGGAGAAAGTCTCTCCCACAGGACACTGAGTTTTCTTGACTGTATGAGTCGTTGATGCCGAATTTGATGAGCTGGATGCATCCAGAAGAGGATTTCGGGGTTTTTGCAGCTTCTTGTAGACCCCCAGCTTTCTCTTGAGCTACTTCAGCTCCACCAACGTCTTCACTGGGGAACGGGTAGTCGTTGTGGGCTGGTGTCGGGAGAAGAAGTTGACTCCGTGGAAAGGTCAGCGTCTTTCCACACTCCTTAATTTTGTCCCCAAGTTTTCCGGTACTGGTATGATCTCCACAAGTTTCAGCTTCTTCTGGAGTCGCTCTCGAATTTTCTCCAAGGCTCTAGCCCCTCGAGAATTATAAGTGTTCATTAAAGCATCTTTATAAGATAACTTTAATGAACCCTTATAATTTCTTGGGTCTTCTCGGAGTTTCCCCCTCTCGGCAGAGTCCTTTTTCGCGGAGTCCGATTTTTTCTCAGCGATTTTCTCTGGCGAAGGCTGGTCGAGGGGTGGAGATTTTTCCCCATCATTTTCTCCAGCTCGAGTCGAATCAGCTTCATTGAAGTTGATTTTCCCGGAATCCCGCGGCCGCTTTCGGATCCTTTCTTTTTCGCCAGCTAGATCCGCAATCACTGGCGAATTCCGTTTTTTTTCTTCTAATTGGCCGAAGAATTTCCGCCATTGTTGCATGCCCGATACTCTGCTCGTGCGGCTTTCATTTTGCTGCAGTTGAAGATTCGATGGCCTGGCATCCCGCAAAAATCACACGTGTAGTTGGTGATTTTCAGACATGACCGCTCGTCGAACTCGTCAATTTCCATCGGTTCGGCGAATGTGGTGTGAGCCGAGCGGTCGCCCTGTCGCGTACTGTCAACGTGCGTCCGTCATGTTCCGACGTTGACCATGTCGAACCGTTCTGCTGCCGAAACGACGTCACTATAGCTCGCATAGTTTGTCGCTGCTACCTGTCGTTTGACTTCAGTTGTCAGTCCGGCGAGAAACGACTAAACTTTTTCCGATTCGGTCAGGTCAGGAATGCAGTCATAAAAATCCTCCATCTGTTGTGTGTATTGCGCTACACTCCCGAACTGTCGATGGCGATGATTTTTTTCCCGGGCAAGGAAACCCGAATTAAACGGCTCGAAGTGTTTCAGCAGGTCGGTGCGGAACTGCCGCCACGTGGCTTCGCCATGGATGAAGGTACTGTTACTGCCGATCCACTCGAGTGTCGGTCCTCGCATCAGTGTCGCTGCGAGTCGTACGCGTTGACCGTCCCAGACTTGCGAGCTCCATCCGATGGTTTCGAAGTAGATCTCAATGCCGGCGATCCATCTGCGGGCTTCACAATTTTGATCGCTCGGATCGAACGGCTCAGGTGAGGGAGGTTTCGGAGCTTGAGAAACTACTGCGTCGTCGCCGTTGTCGTATCGTGCTGAGCGCTGGCGAGTCGAGTAACTCGCTCAAACTCGTTTCGCCAAGCTTTGCGATCGGCTCGCATCTCTTCGTGAAGGGCGGCGATGCTCGCGCAGAGTTGCTGGGTAACCTCGACGTTGGCGTCACCACTACGTTTCTTGGTCACGAGCGGAACGCTGTCTGTACCAAGGCCGCCACTGGTGCTCCCCTTACCACGTTCCCCCGGGATCCGGTGTCTAGCCTGTTCACGCTGGACAGCGCGCCCCCCCCCAGTTGGGACGTCTCCCTAGGTGGCTGCGTCTACCCAGGTTGCTGCGGCCTGCTCATGTCGGTCGCTTACTCACCCGACACTTCTATGGCACCACCGCCTAGGTCACACTGCGCTCCTGCGTCTGCGTCACATGTCTTAGAACAGTCTTGTCCTAGGTCTACCAGAGTCGTTCCCAGACTTGCCCTCATCCCCAGTCCCGCCTTGCATGCCCTGCGTCGAGGGCCGGCTCCGCCGTGCCCCTCACTCCTCCTCGTTCCCCCCCACTGCCGCACCGCTACATACCCTGCACATTGACGTCTGGGGCCCAGCCCCCGTCCATGGGCCGCGTCGAGAGTGCTACTTCCTCGTGCTTGTCGAAGACTACACGCGCTACACCACGGTTTTTCCCTGGAGCGAAAGGCCGACGTGCGTGACGCTCTTATCCCGTGGCTGGTCTCTGCGCGTGTGCATCGCGGTCTCCCTTTCTTGCGTCTTCACTCAGACCGTGGTGGCGAGTTTGCCTCTGGCGTTCTTGGTCGTTTCTGTCGTGCGGAGGGCATCACCCAGACTTTCACCTTGCCGGACTCCCCGCAGCAGAATGGGTTCGCTGAGCGACGCATCGGTTTGGTCATGGAGGTGGCTCGTACCTCCATGATCCATGCCGTTGCACCCCATTTTCTGTGGTCGTTCGCCGTTCGCTACGCCGCTCATCAGCTTAACCCGTGGCCGCACCCCCGGCAGCCGTAGGTTTCGCCGACCATTCTTTGGACTAGGTCCCCTGGTGACGCATCTGCGTTCCACGTCTGAGGCTGCCTTGCTCACGTTGGTGCCTCTGGCACGGACAACCTCACTGACCGCACCGTCCCCTCTGTCTTCCTCGGTTTCTCCCTCGACTCGTCTAACTTGCACTTCTACCACCTGTCGTCTCACCATTTCTTTCACTCTTGCGACGTCAGCGTTGACGAGTCCTGCTCCTTCTACCACCGCTTTCCCCACCGTGGTCCCCCGGTTACTCCCCCCTTGTTCCTGGTTCCCCCTCCCCCGGTCGCCCCTGCTGCTCCCCATCCCCGCCCTGCCCCGTCTGGTGTGTCTCACTTCACCCCCCTCCCGTCGGTTGTCCCGGTCGATGAGTCTGCAGACTCTAGTGGCCGTGCGGCGCAGTCCTCGCCGCCCGCCTCTCTCCCAGTATCTCCTCCTCCGTCGTCGCAGCCACCGCCGCCACTGCAGCCATAGTCGCAGACGCCGCCACCGCCGCCGCAGCTATCGTTGCAGCCGCGGTCGCCGCAGCCGCAGCAGCAGCAGTTCATCGACATGGGGGGTGCTGGTGTTGAGGAGGGTGCTCGTCTTGGGGTTCCTGACGTGGCTTGTCCCGGTGGGCCTGGGGGTGGTACCGGTGCTGGAGAGGTTCTTGGTTCTGGGGGTGCTGGAGTGGAGTGTTCCAGAGTTTGCCCTAGAGCAGCTGGCAGTTCCGGTGTCGCCGTCGTGCCGCCGCAGCAGTAGTCGCCGCCGGTGTCAGCCCTTCGCCTGCTCGGCCTTCCGTCCCCTGACAGCGCGTCTGTGCTTCCTCCACCGTCTGCTCCCCTTCCTGTCTATGGCCCCGTGTTCCCTCCTCCGGACTCGTCTCTGGCTCGTCTTCCCCCGCGTTCTCCTCTTGTGTCTCCTCCTATGTCTCCTGACCCGACACCTCCGTCTCACGTCTGGTGCCGCCGTCCCTCTCGTGCTCGTCCTGTCTCTCCTGTTCCACGCTCTCACCATATGTTGCTCCGTTCCCACGCATCTCGTCCTCCCCTCCTGCCGTCGCTTCCTCCGTCCTCCTTTGTTATCGTGCCTCCCCCTCTATCTGACTACCTTTGTGTTGCTCGTCCTCTTGTTCCTCGGGTCCTTGCCTCTCTCGTTACCGACCCGTCATTTCCTGTTTTGCGTCTTGACACTCTGGTCACTGCAGTCGCTGACTTCGCCTCTACCCGCCGCCTTGACTACGTCACCGCTCTGGTCTTTGACCCTGCTCATCCTCCGTCCATCGGGGGTGCTCCTGCCCTCGGCAGTGACGTCCTGGAGGACCGGCAGTACGAGCTTGCTTTCCTTTCCGAGGCTGCTCCCCATCTCTATTCCATGCTGCTTGTCCCTAAGGGTGACCCAAACCCTTTCGACATCCCAACCCCTCGCACCTACGCTAAGGCCACCTCGGGACCCTGGGCCTCTTAGTGGATAGCTGCCATGGAGCAGGAGATGGCATCTTGGGGATCCACCGGCACCTACGTCGACGCAATTCCCCCACCTGAGGTGAACGTAGTCGATGGCCGGTGGCTCTTCAGGGTGAAGCGCCCTCCTGGAGAGCCGCGTGAGTTCAAGGCGTGCTACGTGGCTAGCGGCTTTAGTCAGCGTGAGGGGGTGGACTTCTTTCAGACCTTCACCCAGACCCCGAAAATGACTACTCTTCGGGCGCTGCTACACGTAGCAGCACAGCTTGACTACGAGTTATACTCCCTCGACTTCTCCACTATGTTTCTTCAAGGCGGCCTACACGAGCAGGTCTACCTGCGCCGCCCTTAGGGCTTCACTGGTACCTTCCCTCCTTGGACCTAGTGGCTACTGCGGCGCCCAGTCTATGGCTTGCGCCAGGCTCCCCGTGAGTGGCAGAACACACTACGTGCTACCCTTGCTGACCTGCAGTTCTTTCCGTCCTCAACGGACCCCTCGCTCTTCGTTCGTGCTGGCCAGACCCCATTCTACATCCTTGTTTACGTAGACGACCTGGTCTTCGCCACTGCAGACAGGGACGCACTGGCCTCCGTGAAGGTAGAGCTGCTGAAGAGAGACACCTGCACTGACCTAGGAGAACTGCGCCGCTACCTTGGCCTCCAGATCTCCAGGGACAGAGCAGCGCGCACCATCACCCTGACTCAGTCACACTTGGTGCGCCAGGTCCTTCAGAGGTTCGGTCTTCGGTTCTCCTCCGCACAGCCCACACCTCTGTCAGTAGATCACAGGCTCTCTGCTACAGTTCCTGAGGAGTCAGTAGAGCCCAGTGGTCCTTACGCAGAGCTGGTGGGTTGCCTCATGTATCTGATGACTTGCACTCGTCCAGATCTCGCATACCCTCTCAGCATCCTGGCTCGCTTTGTGGCCACAGGCAGACACCGACCACAGCACTGGTCGGCCGCTAAGAGGGTTTTGCGTTATCTAGCAAGTACATCGGGCATGGGGTTAGTGCTAGGAGGACGCAGGCCATTGGTTCTTACCGGGCACAGAGACGCTTTTTGGGCAGACGACGCTGAGACCCTCGGGTCCTCGCAGGGCTACTGTTTTAGCCTTGGTTCAGGTGCCGTCTCGTGGAGAGCTACTCGCTCCTCGTCTATTGCCCAGTCCCGCTGTGAGGCTGAGATCTACGCTGGTGCCATGGCGGCACAGGAGCTCCGTTGGCTGACCTTCTTGCTCACTGACTTATGTGAGCGGCCTAGCTCTAGCTCGGTCCTGTACGCTGACAACAGGGCCATGATCCTCCTGTGTCAGGAGCCTCGTCTTCAGGGTAGAGCGAAGCACATCCAGCTGCAGTACTTTCTCCTGCGCGAGCTGCAGCAGCGCCGCCAGGCTCGCGTAGTACACTTGGCCTCCGGTGCCAACACAGCTAATATCTTTACGAAGGCGCTTGCGCCTAAAGATCATCAGCGGCACTGTGTACAGCTAGGTCTCGTTCCTGTAGCCTTTCACCTACTAGGGCTTTGATTATGTACAGACCTGTATATTTATTTTACCCTGACTGGCCTTATGGCCTCTCCCAGTGGCTGGACGAGTAGTGCCGCCCTGGTCTTGCTCTTGCCTTGGTTTGTACTTGTTTGACTGGTCTTTAGACCCTTGCCTCAGAGGTTGGACTAGTAGTGCCACCCTGAGCTGCTTGTCTCTCAACAGACACTGCCCCTATCCAGTCTAGGGGGTGTGTCAAAAAACATTTGTGTGTGATGTTGTAGACCATATAGGGTTGTGCCTTAGAGAGTACAGCCCCCTAAGTTATAATGCCTTGTACTCTCACATTCTATTCATTCTTTCAGTTTGTTAACGGAGTGCTCCGGACGGAGTGCGCCTGACGGAGTGCGCTGGAGTGAGCCTCTTTGAATACACGCTCTGGTACGTTGTGAGCGAAATCAAAGCTGGCCCGCGAAGGAGTGTTGTGGAAGGAGACTTGTCGATGTGGAAAGAACGCTGGTCAGTGTATGCAGGTGAGTGGGGGAGTGTGGCGGAATGAGCACTTATAAAAAACGTACTATACATACATATATATATATCATTGGAATTATGTTGTTTTGTTTCATCCACGCATCAGGCACTCTCAGGATAAGCCTTGCCATCCTCTTGTGCTACTCCTGCCTTTGCAAATCAGGAATTAGTATTATATAAAATTGTTAGGTAGATGGTGTTCTTTCAATGCGCTATCACAGTGTTGTGGCATGTCGAGCCCAGTAACGAGTCTGCAAAAGTGCGCGTGTGCAGAAACCCCCCAACAAAACTGCCAGAATCTCAAAACCGCACATCTAAACCTTCGCATCGCCTCCATTTCTGCAACTTAGTCCCTCACGCCCTTCTCTCACTAGAAGCAGATCACCGAGAGCGCTGTCGTCGAAGTTGATCGAGCCGAATCGTCATGGCTGCCGCTGTAATTGGGCAATTACTGCCCGGAATGGAAGAGCCGGTTGCGGCAGGTCAAAGTACTCCAGAAGTCGAGCAAGGCGGGGGAGCGACGGAGATGGAAGAGCCGGAAATGGGCGATGGGGCGCCGCAGATGGAGGGCGACGACGACATCGACGAAGCCGCGGAGGGGGGGGAGGAAGAAAAGGACGACGAGGAAGAGGATAACGAGGAGGATGATTCAGAAGTAGAGGAGGACGAGGAAGAAGAGGGGGACGAAGAGGAGGAGGAGGGCGGCGAGGAGGCGGGAGGCGGAGCAGGTGGCGCGCAGGAGGGCGGCGGCATGTCGGCGGCGCAGCTAGCAGCGGCGGTGGAGCCGTCGGACTATTCCTTCGACGAGGGCAACATGCTCGTTAACGACTCGCGCCCCGTGTCTCTGCCGTTCGTCACGCCGCACCTGTGAGCCCAGGGTGTAGGGTACAGCCGGCCATGAGGCTAGGGTTTAGGAGTCTACGAGCTGGAGGGGTTTTGCGTTGGACCGATATGCCACCGTTATTGGGCGGAGAACTTAGGGGGCCCAGCTGGAAGGAAGTTAAGCCCCGAGCGCCGGCACTAATCATTCGCCCTTCCTCTCATCATGGGCCATCTCCCCGTATATTTTCCTGCCTAAACCCTCACCCCCAACTCCCTATCCCGCTTCCTTCCCCCCATGCCTCTCCCCAACCCCCCGCAGCGAGCAGGCGGAGCAGCAGGTGCTGGAGTTGGCGCAGCAGGCGGTGCAGGCGCTAGCCGCGCGCCTGTTCGCGCTGCCCGCCACGCCGCACAAGATGGGGCGCCTCGTGGACCTCCCCCCGCCCACCACTCCGCTGCCCAGAGAAAAGCCGGTCAGCGCCCTGCTTCGCTTCGCCCCTCCTCTACCCCGTCCCCTCGCTCGAAGCTCAAAACCGTCAGCTTCGTGCATAGCAGTCGTGTGTTCGTGCGGTTCAGCGCGGTGCACCTGAAGTGAGACCGAAGTGCGCCGAGGGTTTAAGCTAATTGGTCTCTTTCAGTCCGCCTCTCCGCCCATCCCCCAACGCTCACTCCCCTTCCCTACCCCAAACTCCTCCCCCCCCCCCCCCCCCCCCCCCCCCCACCCGCCGGTATGTGCGCAGCCCCCCCGTCCTCGTGGTCTCACCAAGTGGGAGCGGTTTGCCCGAGAGAAAGGTGCGCTCAGGGAAAGAGTGCGGCGGAGTGAGGAATGTGCGGGGTGTGCGGGGTGTGGGTTGTGTGGGTTGTGTGGATTGTGTGGGGTGTGTGAGGAGCGTGGTGAGTGTGCGTGGTGTGACGGGCATGAGAGTGGGCTGTTATGTGCGAGCCTTTCGCGAGCCTGTGCAGGGGAGGAGCAGGTGTGACTCCTTACTCCCTCTCTTTTTCTCTCTCCCCCCCGCCCGCCCGTCCCGTGTGCGCTGTCCTCCCTCCCCCTTGCGCGCGTGAGCAGGCATTCAGAAGCGCAAGAAGGGCAAGTTCGTGTTTGAGGAGACGTCGGGCGAGTGGAAGCCGCGGTACGGGTACAAGCGCGCCAACGACATCAAGGACATCCCCATCCTCGAAGCCAAGGCCTCCGACGGTACCCTTGCCCGCCTCCTCGCCGTCACTTCACTCTCTGGCTCGTTGCCGCCTCTGCATCTGATGGAGCAGCTGCTGCATCTCTCTCTCTCTCTCTTTCTCCTGCCGTCTTCCCTTACCCCTTCCGCTGCTCTTTGGTCACATGCTCTCCGCTTTGCTTCCTCACATCCCCCCCTCCCCCACTCTCCAACCACACCCCTGTCTGTGTGCCCCCAGGGCACCACCCTTTTCACTCTTCTTCGCTCCACCTCTCCCCCTCACTCCCCCGCACTCTCCCCCTCGCTCTCCCCTCCGCTCTCTTCCCCCTCCCCCGCGTCTGCAGTGGCGGGCGAGGACCCCTTTGCGAAGCTCAAGGCGGAGAAGAAGGCGCGGGTCAAGGCCAACGAGCAGCGCCGCCTCGGCAACCTCAAGGCGTCCGCCAAGCAGCTGCGACCAGACGCGCTCAGGTCAGGGCAAGGGGAACGAGGGTGAGGGGAAAGGTGAGGGGAGGCCCTCGGGATGGGTGCTGGTGTGCTGGTGAATGGTTAACGCCTGCTGCTTCTTGGATTCTAGTGGTCTTCATATCTTCACACCAGCGCAATCATCACCTCCACTCTTGCTCCATCCTCTCGACTTAGAGCCCTCACTCCCCCCGCCCCCCCCGTTTTCCATCTTCTCCTCTGAGCCTTCCCCCAACTCTCCACCCCTTTCCCCCTAACCTTCCCCGTTGCAATTTCCACCCCCTCGCAGCCACCTTGCGGTGTCGTCAGCATCCCTGCCTCTGTCCGGCAAGCCATCGGGTGGGCCGCGGGCGACCAAGGCGGCTGTGGGCACAGTGGCGTCGCTGGCGGCGGGCAGCACAGCCAGCGGAGGCAAGTTCGACCGGCGGCTGGAGGGCGAGAAGAGAGCCAAGAAAGTCGGCAAGCACAGAAAGGTGAGAGAGGCGTCGGGGGGGGGGGGAGGCTGGTGATAATGTGGGCGCATGTGCTTGAGGCAAGTGTGGGGTACGTGCGTGAATGAATGATGCTTGTGGCCCTGGGGGTGAAGTGCTTCTGAGGCATGAGCTGTCATGCTTCCACCATGCTCCCCTGCTGGCCCTCTCACATCCCACCTTATCATCTGTCCTGGCACCACCCAGGGTCTACCCCTCTCGCTTACATGCTTTTCCCCCTTCCACTGCTTCTCTCCCCCCCTGCAGTTCCTGCCGGTGGCAGCGCGCGGTGCGGAGGGTGAGCGCGAGGGCAAGATGATAACGTCGGTGGTGGACAGGGTGGTCAGCAGGCACGCCACTGACGTCATCGATGTCAACAAGGTGCGCTCATGCCCGCTGCTGCCTGCTGCTGCCTGCTGCTGCCCACTGCTGGGGGTTTTCTTTTCTGCTTGCATGCATGTGTGGGAAAGGCATGGGTGCGCGCGTGTGTGTAGCTCGATAGTGCAGGTCATCAAGTCGTTGGTCCCTGGCTCGCTACCACTCCCGTTCTCCCCCTCACACACACACACCCTCATTCCCATTCTCCTACACACACCCTCATTCCCACTCTCCCGCACGCACGTGCAGGCGGTGTCAGTGTTGCAGGTGGGCGAGGAGAGGAAGCGCAGAGCGGCCAAGTGGAGCGGAGCAGCAGACAAGGGCAAGGGCAAGGGCAAGGGGGGCAAGGGAGGCAAGGGGGTGGGGGATTTCGGAGGGGCAGGCAAGGGCAAGAGGAAGGGTGGGAACGATGAGAAGGGGAAAAAGAAGGCCAAGAAGTAGCGGTGCGCTCCCCGGCTCCATGCAGCAGTGGCAGCTGCTCATATCTGCTGTGCTGCCATCATGGTGCCGCCAGGCACTGATCTTCACGTTCTCCCACCATTTCTCACTGGCTCGCCTGGCTGTGTCTGATGGCGCGTTTGGGACCCACCTAAGCTTCATGTTGCAATGGTAGTTTGGTGCCCCATTTCAGCGCTGTATGGCTGGTTGTACGCACATGAGTACGAAGTAGACAGTGAAGAAAGCATGCCTTTTGCCATGCGCGGTTCAAGTGTGCAACACGACACAACAGAACACAACCAGCTGATTGCAGCGTGACACCCTGCAGCACTCCCACTCACGTGTACCTGCCAGGGAGGTGCTACATCACACTGAGGCGCCAGACCAGCAATCAGGAGATGTGCGAGTCCAGTGCACCCACTCACACCCTCTCTTGCAGTCTGGACTTGGGAGTGACCCTGAGCCTCTCACAATGCACAGCATTGCTGTTACCGTTAGCTCCAATCCAGTCCAACATTCCTGCCTCTGCATGCGTCTGGCCTGGTTGGTGCATGGACTGCTGCTGGAGCTGGGGTATTCAATCACATTGCTTCTTTTCCCCGTCTTCTCCCTACCAAATGTGGTGATGGCTCCAAAAGTGATGTACACTTAAACATAATTATTAACATAACGACTTTTCAAGTGAGCTATAGAACAGAAACCATCTAGGGGCAAGTGCCTGATCCCTGAGTGCCACCTATGCCATTGCACTCACATCACATCCCATCTCTGCGTGACATGAAGCCTAGTTCATGCCAACCCGCTAGTGCGCCATCACAGCATCCTGCAGTCAAGGGCATAGGCACTGCCGCTTATTGCCCTACCACCACTCCCACCATGCGTCACCCTTGTCGTGCTGCCTCATCCCACCTACGACTGTACTGCACAGTCCGTCTGCTGAACCAACTCCAGTGAACAAGTCAAGAAGCAACCCTCTCCTTACACTCAGACAAGTGAAGTCTCCCCATCCGCGTCATCCTCACCCATCTCCGTCAGCACATCGCTTGCTTGCATCCGCTCTCCTGCCGCTTCATCCCCGCGCTCTTCCCCCCGGCGCCCACGTTCATCCACGCGCCGCCGCCCAGGTGCCGCCGCACGTCGTCGCTGACGCGCGCCATGTGCTCCAGGAACGGGATCAGCGCAAACAGCTCCATGTCGCGCGGGTTATCGATGAACGACGAGATGGGCACGCCGTTCGCGGGCTGCCGCGCGTACGACAACGGCGAGTTGTCCACCAGAAGCACGTCCGCCAGGTCGCGCCCCAGAATCGACAGATCCTTCACGTACCCGCCGCCGCTCTCCATCTGCACGCACGACTCGCGGAACAGCCGGTGGTGAATCAGCTCGCCGGTGGGGTCCAGGAGATCGAGCACGGGGTCCGCGTATCGCGCGAGGCTCGCGGTGAAGACGACGACTTCGAAGATCGGCGCCATGGTGGCGAGGAACTGCTCGACGCCGGGGCGCTTGAGCACGTACACGGACGCGGTGCGGCCGTCCATGGTGAGCGGCACGACGAAGTCGGCGGCGGGCGGCGCGGAGAAGGACGAATGCACGAGCGTCTCGTCGAGATCCAGAACCAGCGTCTTTCGCACCGCTCGCCCGTCGGACAGCTGAAAGTGCGGCGGCAGTGGCGGCAGCAGAGTCCGCGAGGAGGGCGGCGGCGGCGCCGTCACGGAAGGGATGGGTAGCGCGGGAGGCAGCATCCCGAAGCAGAAGAGGCGCGAGTTGTACGAGCTGCTGCGCGTGTGATGCACCGCCGCCGCCGCCGCCGCGCGAAGAGCGGTCCGATCGTCGCCAGAGGTCGCAGATCCAAGGTGACTGTCGTTGGACGACGGCGATACCAGCAGCGGGGCGGAGGTAGAAGTAGTCTGGTAGTAGTACGGGCGTATGAAGTTGCAGAGCTTATCCCACACGCGGTTCCTCGCCGCGTTACTCGCCGTCCCGACGCTCGCGCTGAATCCAGTTGTCGCATGGTCCGATCCCACAACGATGCTGCTGATGGGGTTGTCGGCCGAAGAGGAACCGATCGCAACGATGGGAGGAGCCTGAGTCGTCGCATCGGCGGAGTGGATTGGAGTGTGCGAGGGAGCAGCCCGGTCCGTCTCCTGCAGCAGAAACGACTCCTGGCCGGCCGTCGGTTGCGCAGAGCTATCCTCCTCGTGCTCGGATGAGGAGCCTTCAGGAGCCTCAGTAGACGTCACGGCCGTTGTTGAAATGTCCGCCAGTGGTCCCGCCGAGTCGTCACGGTTGGCTTCTGATCTCTCCGCGCGTTGCAGGTCTTCTCCGTTGTTGTTGGATCGGGTGACGGACTCCTCTTCCTCGATCGCTTGCGGGAAGATCAGCGCAAGGGACGATCGGTGATTCGCGCTGCCTCTGGAGCTCCGGCTGACGCCGTGAAGGCCGATTCCTTTCGTAGATTTCGCTGACGAAAGGTCCATCCTTCGCACGCCGTGATTCGCGTCGTCAAGAAGAGTCGTCGTGCAGCTATTGGTCCTTCGGATCTTCACTTCTTTATACAGACTTGTGGCTGAAAACTCCATCTCGGTCATGCTGCTCCTTGCACTGCTGCCGCTGCTTCCTCCGCTGCTGCTAGAAACGGTCCGGAGAATGCTATTTCTGACGCTATCGACGGTGCTACTGGATGTGCTACCGTCGCTGCTTCGTGAATCCATAGATGGATCCAGACAAGAGCCCGGCGGCCATGGCTTGTCGTTCAGTGACCAAACAGCGGTAGTAGCCATAGTGAAAGCCGACGGTCGCGGAACGTAGGCAATGAAAGAGAAAGCCGGATGCGGAAGGAAGTATCTCCTGAACGGAATGAAGTCTGAGAGTTTTGAGTTCAGATGACCTCTTATCTGAAACTGCTGAATGAGCTGAGCTCGGGGAATACCATCCCGGGCTGCTCTGTTGACAGGGACAGTGTGAATGGCGGCGCTAGCGAATGGTCGGAGTCGGTGGAGGTACTGAGGCATCCAGCCAGCCAAGCAGGTACACTTAGCCCGCGGTATTTTTACACCCAGTATTTTCACAGGGGGTGCCGCCGAGAGGGTATTCACCCCTCCAAAAACAGCTCCTGAAAACCAGATCCGAATACCCTGAAAAACAATTTGAACTTTGGATTTCTATACGAAACGTTTACTGCTCGATTTAGTGTTTCTCGAGTCAGGAAACCCGACGTCAGCTTAAGCAGTGCTCAAAGTTTTTGGCCTCGTGGAGTCTGCCATGCTTAGGCCGTAGGGACAAGGGGGTACTGTCTACGCAATCAGAAATGGTCAGGGTGGAAACAAAATTTATTCTGCCGCCCAGTTTCAGGGTGTAAAATTACCGCGGGCTAAGTGTATGCAGGCTGGCAGAAGTGGATTCGCTCGAATCCCGAGAGAGCCCGAATTGGGAATGCCGAGCCGAGGCGCCTGCTCCAGTCGAGCCGCGAATGCCTCCTCTTGTCATTGAAGAGTCGCCGCAAAACCCCCACTGCGCGCAGATCTCCAGGTTCTGCTCCTGCCCACGGCAGCAGGAGGATGTGTCCGCCGAAATCAAAGAGGACTACACGCATGTTGATGCTTCCATGAAGTAGCTTTACAAATAGCAGTATATGTTTTTTATTTTTAACATCCAGCAATATATATATATATATATGTATGTATGAATCGAATTGAGTGGTTTTAAATGGGGCGGGTGATTCGTTATTATAAGTTACCACTTTATTTCGATGAATTTGCATATGTTTCTTGAGATCACTTAAACAACCCTTGTGCTTCCATAATTTCAATGGTTTTATGAAGTTGTAATGCGAAATTTAGAAGTCTTGCGCCACTCGAACACACACAGTGGGGAAATAGTTGTGCAGGAGAAAGAAGCTGCTGTAACGGATTTTTTTCAGTGCCTGCTGAATTGGCTTGTGCGCGTTGCTTGTGATGAAGCAGCAGCACAAAAACTGTCGCCCAAGCAGAGCCCACCACCAACCTACGCTACTGAGCAGTCCGACTATTCCCTCCGCCCTCCTAGAAACTAGTGAATTATTTTCTAGCCTAGATGCGTCTAGCCCTATGACTCCATCCCTCGTTTCTCGCTGTTTGCTGTTATGCTGGCTCATCAGTCTTTCGCTCTGCTGGGTCCCTGCAGTAGTATCTGGCGAGTCGCCGAATTCACCGTCACGTAGTTCCACGCATGGCCATGCGGTCACTACTCCAAATGAAGAGGTCAGCAATTTTTCGAACGGACCCAAGCTTAGAACACCCCTCCCAGCGTCCGTACCAGCGGAAATTGGCGCGAACTCATCATTAGAAGCTCCGACAGCAGACAGGAAGAGGAAGCACGAATGGGATGCTGTACAGGGGGAATCGCTACAAGCAGCAGTACCGCCGTCAGAAGCAGCGTCGCCGACCGCCTCCTTCTCTCGCACGCCCGGCAATTCCTTCCTTGGGGATGCACGAGCATCGTCTGCCACCGTTTCGCAACCACCCGCGCTCACCGCTACTGCTCCAGCCGCTACCGCCGCTTCGGTGGGTGCGGGTGCTGTGGGCGCGGCACGCTCTGCTGAGCCTGCGGGAGCGGATGAGGGGGCGAGAGTGCACGTGAGCGCGCAAGCAGATAAGGTGCGAGGAGGTGAGCGGGAGGGAGCGGCGGTAGCTGGCGGTGGTGGGGGAAGCGACGCGGTGCAGGCGAGCACAGGGTCAGGGTCAGGGTCAGGGTCAGGGTCAGGGTCAGGGCAGACGGCGAGGAGCGCGGTGAATACGAGCGAGCATGGACCGCTGGCAGAGGGGACGGCAAGTACGAAGGCGGGCGACGGGGCGAAGAGCAGTGAGAAAAGTGGTGGGGCTGCAAGTGTGAAACAGGGGGGGTTCGCGGACCAGGGAGGCGGCTCAAAGCAGGTAAATAGCGGAGGTGGCGCACCCAGCTCAGCAGCCATGGCGCCTAGTGCTAGCAATTCCACGTCAGATACCCCTGCTGCTGACGACACTCGCACCGACGACGATCACGACGACCCCAACTGCCACCGCGTGCGGGACCTGCTAACCCCAGCAGAGCAGTGCGAGTACGTGTCCACGCACCCCGCGTGCCAGCTGGGCTCCTGGATCCACTACCTCTCGCTCTACTACTGCCGCTCGCTCAGCGTGACGCGCGGCGTGGCGGCGGCGGGCGTGGCGGTGTGGCTGGGCGCGCTCTTCTTCATGCTGGGCAACACCGCGGCGGACTTCTTCTGCCCCTCGCTTGAGCAGCTCTCGCACCTGCTGCGCCTGCCGCCCACTGTCGCCGGCGTCACGCTGCTGCCGCTGGGCAACGGCGCACCGGACGTGTTTGCGAGGTGAGGGATTCAGGGGCACTGTTGGGATAAGGAGAGGATAGCAGGGTGCAGGAATCAGGATGCTTGTGCAGCTGTTATGCGCTCTCGAAATCACTCATTCTCACCCACCACTCACCACTCCCTTGCTCACTCGCACTCTGAAGCACCTGGTACCCTTGTTTCCTGCTCCGCCCTCTGCTCCGCTCCGCACAGCATCGCGGCGTTTGTGGGCACGGGGCAGGGCCAGGTGGGGCTCAACAGCGTGCTGGGCGCCGCCACGTTTGTGTCGTGCGTGGTGGCGGGCGCCGTCTGCATTGTGGCCGCCGTCGCTGCCGCCGCCAGGACCAGAGCGGCGGGGCCGGCAGGGGCGAAGAGGCTGGTGGATGCCACGGTGGTGGATGGGCCCTCGTTCATCCGTGACGTCTGCTTCTTCATCGCTGCTCTGCTCGTATGCACTTGTCTTCTCTCGCCCCCTATCCTCCACCCCACCCCCTCTGTCGCCCACTTCTCCCTTCTCCCTCACTTTACCTCTCCCACATCTTGCTGATGCAAACGCGTCTACCCTTTAGTTATTGACCATCCCAGTAGTGTGTGTCCCATCCACCACAGTACCGTGTCCTCCGCCTCATTGCCCCCCTTCCTTGCACTTCTCCCCATGTGCCATCGCATGCGCAGGTGCTGTTTGTGATTGTGTGCATGGGGGCCGTGCACCTGTGGACGGCCCTCCTCTTCTTCTCCATCTACATCGCCTACTGCTGCACCGTCGCCTCCTTCCAGCTCTCCTCCTCCTCCCCTTCCGCCCACCGCCCCGCGCCCCTCTCCTCAACCCTCCCTGAACCCCCTCACCTGCAGCAGCCGCTGCTGCCTGTTGACCAGTGGGAGGGTGGGGGGGGAGGGGAGTCAGCAGGTCTCGGAACGAAGGGGAGCAGGCTGGGGGAAGACGAGGAGGAGGAGGTGGAGAGTGGGGATGGGCAGGTGCGGGGAGGCGAGTGCGGGGAGGGCGGGGGGCATGGGTTGCCGCAGTGGATGTGGACGAGGGATGTGCGCATCTTCCAGCTGGAGCCACAGCACGGGGCGGCCCATGGGGTGGCGGGTCGAGCTGCTTTCATGGAGATGGAGGATGGGGCGGATGGCGATGCTGGGGGGGGTGTGAGACCGCTGTGGGGATGGGGCTCGGATGATGAAGAGGAGGAGGACGAGGAGGAGGTCGAGGATGTTATGCACTCCGTGAGTTTCTTTCTTTCTTTCCTTTTGCTGCGTAAGATTTACGTGAATTTTCTGCGTTTTTCAGTGTTTGTTTTTTGTTTTGATCCCTCTGATTCAACCATTCACGCACCGTTACCGCTCCAAGAATCTTCCCTCCACGTCCACTTGACTCGCTCATCTCATTGAACATCACTCTGCCTCCCCCCCTGCATCCCCTCCGTTCTGCCACCTGCCATCTCCAGTGGGAGCCCCCGTCAGCGCCTGTTCTCTCAGCGCAGGGCATAGCCTACTGGTTCTTCTGCCTGCCTGCCATGCTGCCGCGCCTCCTCACCATCCCCCTCCTCCCCCGCGACTCACGCAGCCGCGTCCTCTCGCTCCTCTCTCTCGCCCTCTCCCCTCTCTTCTTCCTCCTCGTGCTCCAAGGCCCGTTCCTCTCCCCTCTACCCCTCTCTCTAGCTGCGGCCTGCGGTGCGCTTCTCTCTCTGCTTGGCCTCCTCGCTTCATCAGGCCCTTCTGGGGCAAAGCACCTGTCAGCAGCTGTACTAGGGCCAGCGTCGCACCACCACACCAACCGTCACCGCCCCACATCCCTCCGCATCCCGCCTCGCCTTCTTGGCCTCCTGTGGGTGGTACCGGGGTTTGTGATGAGTGTGGTGTGGTTCTATGTGGTGGCGAATGAGCTCGTGGCGTTGCTGGTGTCGGCAGCCATTGTGCTGCGAGTCAGCTCGGCCGTGCTTGGACTCACACTGCTCGCATGGGGCAACTCCATCGGGGACTTTGTTGCCAATCTGGCCCTGGCGTATGGTGGGGGAGCCATAGGGGGGAGTGGAGGGATGCGTGGGCGGAGCGAGAGGGCGGCGGAGAGGGTGCAGATTGCATGGTCTGGCTGCTATGCAGGGCCCATGTTCAACACGCTTGTGGGGATTGGCATGTCCCTTGTTCTCACCTCCTGGCACTCGTATCCACATGCGTTCGTTATCCCCGAAGACCCCACGCTCCCGTATACCTTCGCTTTCCTTCTTTTTGGGTTGTTCCTCTCGCTTCTGATTCTTCCTCTATCTGGCTTCCGCCTGAGCCGGCCATTGGGGGTGTCTCTTATATTTGTTTACGTGTCTTTCCTCAGCCTAAGGTTGCTTGATGTTATGGGTATAGTTACCCTCAAACCATGGTGGTGAATTTTGTGTATTTCTCCTTATGGATGTAAGTAAATGAGTAGGTCCACCATCATATTGCTGCTGAATGTAGATGTACAAGGATATGCATAGATTGGAGTATTTTGTGAATTGAGGAATTCTGTTTGGCGTATAAAACCAATTGAAACAGCAGCGCTGTGCGATGTAACACTCCACGATGCTCCGCCTGTTTCCCGAGCCAACACCCAAAACCTCTGGGTCAGAGCGACAAACACCAGCCAGCCGCGCGCATTGCGCAACATTCTCCTCCGCGCCCCGCGCCTTCTGCACCCCCCGGGTTCCCCGCTTCTCCCTCCCCTTCCACCCTCCTCTGCGCCCCTCGCACCCTTTTCTCTCTTCTCCGCCAATTCTCTCTCCTCTTCGCGCTCCTTACCTCCCTCACATCCCTAGCCCTCGCCGCTTTCCCCTCCCTAAGATTCCCCTTCGCGTCGCTTAGCCGTCGCCACCATGCCGCCCAAAATGGATCCCACGGCCATTGTGGACGTGTTCGTCCGCGTGACGGGCGGCGAGGTCGGCGCGGCCTCGTCGTTGGCGCCTAAGATCGGACCGCTGGGTCTGTCGCCTAAGAAGATAGGAGAAGATATCGCCAAGGAGACGGCCAAGGAGTGGAAGGGGCTGCGCGTTACCGTCAAGCTCACCGTGCAGAACCGACAGGCTAAGGTGTCCGTCGTCCCTAGCGCCGCGGCTCTCGTGATTAAGGCTCTTAAGGAGCCGGAGCGCGACCGCAAGAAGACGAAGAACATCAAGCACAACGGGAACATCTCTATGGATGACGTCATCGAGGTGGCCCGCGTGATGCGGCCACGGTCGATCGCGAAGGAGCTGACCGGCACGGTGAAGGAGATTCTGGGCACGTGCGTGTCGGTGGGATGCACGGTGGACGGCAAAAGCCCCAAGGACGTTCAGCAAGAGATCGACGACGGCGAAATCGAGATCCCCGCCAACTAGATATACCCGGTTACCCTGTAACGCGGTTGCGGTGGTGTTTTAACGATGTTGCGAGTCCGAGGATGGCTCTCGCGCTCGCTATGGCCTGCCTCGTTCTAGACCCTGCCCTGTGTCGTATTGTGTCAGCCTTAATGCAAACAATGGAGTTCGTCTTTTTGCCTCCTTTTCTTTCTTGTCGTTCGATTTTCTCGTTCCCCGGTCCCAATCCCCGGTCCTCCTCGCCCCTGTTCCCAATCTCGCGCGCGGCAGCCACGCGACGCTCGCGCGGTTGCCGTGCGCGCGTGGGGCAGGTGTTACGCAATGCAATGATTAGTTAGAGTCACAGCGGCTGATTTCCGGTTCAGGGGGTGTAGCCCATGCAGCAGCTGAAGTAACCCCGTTACGGTAGGCGTAGTAACCCCGTTTCTTTCAGCCGTTCTCATCTCCCTGCAACCATCAGCCCCACGCCTACTGCCATCTCACTTTCCTACCCTCCGTCGGCCGTTCTTCTTCCCACCAGCCTCCTTCGAGACAGACCTTAACCTCTCTCCCACATTCCTTCCTCCTGCCAACCTTCTTGGAGCCCCCCCTGGTGTCCTTCCCCCCCGCCCGCCAGTTCCTTTCACTCTCACCCTCCCCCCCCCCTCTTTCCCCCTATACGCTCTCCCCCCTCTCGCCTCTCGCCCTCGTCGTTCCTGCGATCATCCCTCGTGCCCTATCTTCCTCGCACACCAGCCTCACCGCGCGTCTCCCTTCGCCCCACTGCGTGCTTTTCTCCCTGCCGCTCCCTCGCGCCTCCCTGGCACATCCCTTGAATCCAACGCCCACTCGCTTTTACTCTCCTACGCGCATCCTCTCTCTGCCTGCACTGCACACCACCATTGCCTTTCCCTTGCCTCTGCCTTCATTGACCCACCCTCACTCTCCCCCTTGCAGCTCTAACCCCCCTGCACCGCTCAGCACCCTTTTCTCTTATCCCATTCACCACCACTCTTCCCCTCACTCCCCTCTCTGTGCACATCCTCTCTCCTCCATGCCCCCCCCCTCTCTCCCACCTCTGCCCTCTGTCTCGATCCTCCCTCACCCCCTTTCCCCCTTCCTCCTCCCTCCCCCACTCTCTTCCGCCCTGCCCTGCCTGCCAACCAGCCTCTTCCCGTGCATGTCCCACCACTATGCCTTAGAGTTGCACCCGCACTTCATAATTTCCTCTCCCACCCACCCGCGGCCTCCGCCTCAGCCATCTCTGCCTGCCTGATCGTCTAGCCCTCTGCGCCCATTGTGGCTTCTACCGGCATGATAGCTTCTGGTATGACAACGAGTCAGCGACACTGCAGGTTGCACTGCAGGTTGCACTGGCACTAAGGGCAGTGTAGTGTGTCATCAGAAAGCAATGCAACGTCAGATTTTGCCAGTGTAAAAATGTGACAGGAAAGTAGCATTCGCAGGTTAAGGTATTTCCAGCACAATGTGCGCTTTCTGGCTTTATAACGGGGATGCACCGTCGCCGTTCATCATTCACCCACCAGAGTCACATTGAGCTTGACTGCCATGCCATTGCTGCGCGCCAAGCTTGCGCAGATCAGGGCCAGAACAGGTCTCCGCTCACCCTCTCATCCGCCTCTCGCGCGGCTCTCCGCCATCCCCCAACGCCGCCATGCGCGCCCTCGCCTCCCTCACCGGATTCCCCGCTCCGCGCATCGCGCTCTCTCCGTGCAGCGGCGATGCGTCGCTCAACACCGCTCGAACTCGCCTGCCTTCCAGCGGCGCGTTCCACGCTGGCCGTGCGCGCTGCATGGCGGGAGAGGTGCAGGGCGACGGCGGCGCTACCAGTAGCGCGGAGACGAGCGGAAAGGCAGGTGAGACGCGAGTAGCTGGGCTGACAGCGCTGGTGAGGCAATGTGAGTGATCGTGTTACCATCGTGAATCACTCGCCACTCCGCTGAAACTGTCGCCACTCATGCCGTCGCCCATCCCCCCCGTTCATCCCGTGTCACGGCGCGCAGTGGCGGGCGCGCGCACGGCGCGGGGGAGAGACGCGGGGAGCGCAGGCGCGCAGGTGATGGAGCTGCGGGTGGACGAGATCCGACGGCCGTTGATGCGCACGCGATCCAACGACCAGGAGAAAGTGGCGTGGCTGATGGCGAGTATCAAGGAGATCGGACTGCAGGAACCGGTAAGCACGCCACGGCTGCACGCCACGGCTGCACGCCAGGGCTGCAGGAACCGGTAAGCACCTGCCGTGGCTTGCCTTGTCTCTGTGAAGCTGAAGGCAAGACAAGCCCGCCCTATTCCAAGGGTCTGACCCCCTGTGGGCTCTTTCGTGAGGCAGCAACATTCCTTGTCCTCATCCCACCATCCCACCATCCCACCATCCCACCATCCCACCATCCCACCATCCCATCATCCCATCACCCCATCATCCCATCTCCTCACCCTCAACCTGCACTTTCTCCCATTCTAAAGCCCCTCCGTTCCACTCTTCACCTGTTTGCGTGGCGCCGAGTGCAGATTGACGTCCTGGAGGTGGACGGTCTATACTACGGTGCGTCATGCATATCATGGCCCATGCACTGCCCATGCCTAGCTCCTTCCATCTAGTAAAGAAGACTCATTTCCCTCATTCCTTCCTCTGCACCACATGCATGCTACTCTCCCACTCCTATCTCTCCTATCTCTTCCACTCCTATCTCTCCTATCTCTCCCTCTTGTCCAAGCTATACTGGGTTTGCCTGCACCTTCCCTTCGCCTGTGGGAAGCACTGCCGGCTGGCCGCCTGCCCCTCCCCACCCCACCTTCCGAATACCCCCCTGTGCAGGCTTCTCCGGCTGCCACCGCTACGAGGCGCACCAGCGCCTGGGGCTGCCCACCATCAAGTGCCGCGTGCGACGAGCCAGCAGGGATATCCTCAGGTTTGTTCTCAAGCGGGGCCGGCAAGGGTGTTCTCACGTTTGCTTTCTTAAGGAGTCATTTGGACTGTTGTCAGTTCATGTCTACCTGTACTGTGTGGAATGAAGGTAAAATGATTTCTTGCACCAAGATCTTGCTTTTAACGTGTAGACCATGTGGTCTGTCCCAACCACCACAACCAACCATACCCTTCGCCTTCCCTCCCATGCCCTTCCCCCCACCCCTGCCCTTCCCGCTCCCCATGCCAGAATGCATATGAGGTAGTGGTCGCATACGCGTTTCTCCTCACAGCAGTGTTGTGTGCTCTGCGTCAATTGGTGCTGCAACACGTGCAGACTGAAAGTGCTTAAATATGTATGTATGTATGTGTGTATGTGTGTGTACAAGATATGTACTCGTACCGTCTTGCACACATCTTGCAATAAAACCAGCCTCCTCTCCTCTCCACCGCCTCTCGTCTACCCTAGGCACGCAGCAACGCACCAGTTGCCATTACTTGACTCCAGCCCGCACCCAGCCAGAACAGCTGGCACAGAGGACACCAGCTTGGCAGCACCCCCAAACTCGCACCTCCCTGGCTCCTGGCTGGCCATCTGATAGTACCGGTTCATTGCCACACTCGCCTGCACCGCCGCCTGCGTCGTGCTGCTCTGCCCCTCCCAGCACCCGCCCCCTGCGCTCAGGTCACCGCACGGCACCTGCCCCTCCCCACACGCCCACTCCATGGCGTTCCACACGCTCTCCGCTGCTGTGTCACACGAGGGTGAGGGAGTGGGTGTGGGTGTCGGCGTGGGCGTGGGTGTGGGCGTGGGTGTGGGTGTGGGCGTGGGCGTGGACCCTGGCGTCAGGTTGAGCGGGTACTTCTCCGACCCGTCCTCGTAGTTCACGCCCCACGCCTTCTCAAACTCGCCCGGCCCCGTGTCCTTCTGGTCCTCGTCGAACATCTCAAAAACGTATGCACGCACCGCCACCCCCGGCCGCTTGGGCGTGCCACGGCCCGATGTGAGGTAGTCGATCAGCGCGCCGTTGAACTCCGCTGCGTCTGCCAGCGATGCCACGTCAGCTCCTGCTGACGGCCACCCCACCTCGCCCACTGGAGAAGGGGGGGAGGAAGGCGGGGAGGAAAGGGCAGGGGAGAGCAGGGGAGAGCAGGGGAGAGCAGGGGAGAGCAGGGGAGAAGATGAGTGGGAAGAGGGGGAGGAGGGGCAAAGACGAATGAAGGGGGAAACGGGGTGGGACGAGGGAACACGATGAAGGTGGGACTGCGCGTTGGGAATGTACGGTGTGAAGTCAGGCACGGGCGGCGCGCCGCTCACGAGTTATGGGCACGTTGGGGAATCCGAGCTTCTCGAAGGCGGCGATGGCGGCGTCGATCATGCCCTCCAGCATGCTGCCGTAGAACAGCTCCCCGTCGCTGTACCCGCCGCTGCCGCCCTTGAAGAAGACAAGGTCGCGCGATATCTGCTGCGGCGCCGACAGGTACGCGAAGAATGGGTAGCAGTTGAGCACCGCGTGCGACCCTGTGGGACGAAGGTTGGAACGGAGAGGGTGAGAGGGGAGGGGAGAGCGCGAGGTTATTGAGCACGCGGATACAACGAGCGCGGACGTGAGTGCCTGTCAGACAGCGCATGTGAACAGTGGCTGTGCCGAGCAGTATGTGCATCACCCCATCCGCGCACCTGCGCGGTTGAGGAACGCGAGCAGCTGAGCAGTTGAGATGCACGCACACACACAACAACAGCAGCACACGCCATGGCAGGCGCACCTGTGCGGTCTAGGAACGCGAGCAGCTTGGCCATCTCGTCGCGGATGGCGGGCTGCACCTCGCCCGCGGACGGCGGGTACGACGCGGCGAGGAAGCTCATGTCCTGCGGGCTCGTCACCTTCACGCGCCCGTGCAGCTTGCGCGCCTCCAGCGCGCCGTGCAGCGCCTCCATGGCGGGTACCAGAGAGTAGAGCGCGTCGTTCGCGCCCTCGCGCTGCCCCATCACCTCGTTGCCCACCTGCCACGGCGCGGAAACGGCGTGATTACTACTGAGCATGCTCGGGCGTCACACCATCACGGCACACGTGCATGTTGTGTCTGTGTCTCTCTAGCACCACCACACAGCCACACAGCCACACAGCCACACAGCCACACAGCCACACAGCCACACAGCCACACAGCCACGCAGCCACACAGCCACACAGCCACACAGCCACACAGTCACACAGCCACACAGCCACACAGCCACACAGCCGCACAGCCGCACAGCCACACAGCCACACAGCCACACAGCCACACAGCCACACAGCCACACAAACACACAGCCACACAAACGCACAGCCACACAAACACACAGCCACACAGCCACACTGCCACACTGCCACACGCACCGAGATGCCCGTGATGTTGCACTTGTCCGTGTACGGCGCGATGTTCGCGTCCACCCACCCCAGGGCCGCCCCGCTGTTCCCCGCGAATTCCGCCAGGCGGTCGTTGGGCACCGCCGTCACCACCTCCAGGCCGGACCCTGCGCGGATGGGGGGAAGCGGAGGGCGGAGAGCAACCGCGCGGCGGATATGAGCGGGCGCAGGAGCTCGTTGCGAACATCAGTCAGATGATTGAGGGATGGGGATAGGGGAGCGCGGGAGTATAAAAGCGGCGCGATGGAAGGAACGCGGAGAACGGGATGCGACAGCAGATTAGTACGCCAGAGATAAGAACGATACGGCAGCATGCGCGGAGTCTCACCAGCCAGCGCGGCGAACGTGGGCCCGTCCGGGCGGAAGAGCTTCACGGCAGAGAAGCCGCGCGCCTTGATGAGCTCGACGGCGCGAACTGGGTCTATAGGCTGCGACGACGCGTCGAGGCCGAGCGACACACCCACCCAGCCGCCGCTGCTGCTGCTGCGGCTTCTGCTGCTGCTGCTGCTGCTGCTGCTGCTGGCGCTGCTGCGGCTGCTGCTGCTGCGGGCGCTGCTGCTGGTGCTGATTCTCGCGCAGAAAACGCATATGAGGAGGAAAAGCCGCACTTGTGCGGCGGTGGAGTGATGAACCATGGGGAATCCGCGACAAAGACTGGGCTGGAGGCGGTAAGTCGACGAGCTAACGGCGAGAACGTGCGGACGAAGGTGTCAAGTCTATCGGTGCTGCGAGAAAGTCAATGGGGGTCGTCTGGTAGGATTGCCTGTGGAGTGGATGGCGGTAGAGGAGCAAATATATAGCGGTTGGGAAGAAGAAACTCAGCAGGCAGGGAGGAAAGGGAAACACAGCATGCTGGGGCGGGGGGCATTGGGTAATCCGTGCTGACCACTGGGTGGCGATGCGCGCGCATCCCAAGAGCCAAGCGAGCACGGCACGGCAGCCGTCGGATCTCAGGGTACACGCAGCGCGATGCGGGAAATGGCTGACCATCCGTCACAGACAAGGCAAGGCAAGCACCTGCTGCGGCGAGGATGAACCCCAAGAGCCACCATTATTGGTGCTTGGACACAATTATCGTGCTTCGCTGAATGAAATCCTGTCAAACTGCAAGCGGCAATAAACTGAAGTGAATTCGGTCTATATTACAAACTTTAATGCCCATTACATAAATTATTGGAACTCACTCATTCGCACATGTCATGAATGGTCGTTCCTTTCACGGGGACTGGCGTGCCTACTGGTCATATAACGCATTATTATCATGTTGTCTTCCCGAAGTCTAGCAGTCACACACATGAAATGCATATACAGTAACCCAAATCACCCAATGGGAGGTGGTCTATGTACTATCCAGACATCATTTGCTCAACATGGGCGCATGCTATTCGTTTGTGACTGATGGATCCAACTCCTGCATTCAGAAGCAATGCGGGAGCGAGAGTGGGAGGGGGGGTGGGGGGGGGGTAAGGTGCAGGTGGGCGCAGATAGGCTGAGATGGTTGCGGTGTTCATTGCAGTGGCCTTAGACAGAAGGGAAGAAAAGGGGGGAGGGTGGGAGGAGACAGGGAAAGGAGGGAAAACAGGAAGCACATAGCAACGCATGTGCAACGGGCGAGCTAGGGTGGAGCAGGGAGGGAGGCAAGGCACCTTGGCAATGTCGATCTGCTGGCGAAACTTGGTGTAGGTCGAGGGAGGCAAGCCACCTCCTTCCAACGAGCTCTCCAGCCGACGCGCCTCCTGAGAAAGTGCGGCAAGGCAGGACGAGACAAGAGACGAGATGAAATGACTTGAACAGACATGGTGAGCTAACTGCTGCTGCTAGTGGACATAGAAGTGAGAGTGCTGGTGACTGAAAAGGGCACCTTTCGCAGAAACTCTTCCCCGTATGCAAGTGCTGCCTTCATGGCCTTGATGTACAGCTGACCCACACTGCACATGCACATCACGTGAACATCACATGCACATCACACGCACATCACACACACATCACATGCATACACGTCACATGGACATCACACGCACATCACATGCACATCACAAGCACCACATCACATGCACATCACACATGCACATCACATGCACATCACATGCACATCACATGCACATCACATGCATATCACATGTACATCACATGCACATCACATGCACATCACATGCACATCACATGCACATCACATGCACATCACATGCACATCACACGCACATCACATGCACATCACACGCACATCACATGCACATCACATGCACATCACATGCACATCACACGCACATCACATGCACATCACATGCACATCACACATGCACATCACATGCACATCACATGGACATCACACATGCACATCACATGTACATCACATGCATATTACAGAAGCACATCCGCAAGACAGGTCAATCCAGTATGAAAAAAGAACCATCGCATCAAGCAGCAAATCAGCAGCACCAAACTTCAGCCACCCACAAACTAAAACCTCCCAAACCTCCAACCTCACATTACTCCCCACTCCATCACCCCAAACCTCCTCCCATCACACTCTCCCCTCCCAACATTCCCTCCCACGCCTTCCATCTTCCATCCACCCCCTTCCACCCGCTCCGACCCCCTCCCACCCACGTCCACCCTCTTCCCAACCCCCTTCCCCCCCCCTCACTCCTTGTCTGTTGCGCTCATCCCTGCCACGAGTGCTTCTGCCTGTGCCATGGCTGCTTCCTGCTGCTCCCCACTGCTCCCCGCCTTAAACGCCTCCACCGCTGCCTGTATGGCTGGCAGCCGAGGGCCACGCTGGGGGAAGGAAAAGAGGCACGGGGCGGGGGAGCGAGAGGGAGACCAGAGAGCGAGGGAGAGGCAGTGATTGAGTGAGGCGGGAGAGGGGAGGTAAGGGGGGGATACAGTCCGAGGGAAACGGACAGGAGGTGGGGGGATAGAGGAGGGAAGTAACTGAGGGGGATAGGTGGTGTGTGAGCAGGGGAGCACGCAGGTGGGGATGGGGAGGAGGGAGGAGCACAAGGCGGGGTCAGGGTAGACATACCCGCTCGCCGTGAAGCATGTAGCTCACTAGAGCCTGTGCCGTCCTCTCACCCTCATAGCTGCACATGCACACACACGCAGCAGGCAGAACGAGCGAGAAGACAGAGTGAGACGGCAGTGGGCTTCAAAGCTGACCTATGGTGGGGTGAGCCGACCCCTCCCCCCCAAAGGCTAAAGCATGTGTCAGAGAGCAAGGGCAGAGGCGAGAAGCAAGGCTGGAGGGATGAAAAGAAGGCACCTGATTCCAAGCTTGTTGTCCTTGTCAAAGTACACCAGGTGAGGGTAGCTGGACGGCAGAAGAGAGAGAAGGGCGAGGGAGAGAGGACGTGGGAAGGGTTGAAAGGAGAACGTTAGATACTGAAAGCGAGAGGAAGAGGCGCGTAGGAGTGAAGGAGAGGGTTGGGGGGGCGAGGGAGCGAGAAAGAAGAAGTGGGCAGAACTTATTGGGGAATGCATTGGATGGGTGGAACGCGCACACAAGAGGAACAATGGCAGTGGGGGGAAAAAACAAAGGAAACTAATTGCAGTTTGGACCAAGGACTCTGGCTCTCTAATCCACTCCGCCTCGTCTCCCTCCTCGTCTACGACACACCCAGCACGTGCGCAGGCATTAACACCCCCCCCTCCCCAACCCCCCCAACCCCCCCTCTCCTGTCCCTGTCGCTTGGCTTACGAGGCAGCGTCGTATCGAGACGAGAGCTTCCAGTACCTATCGCCATCCACCTGATAAAAGGGGGGGACCGAGGGCCACCGACACACAACGCACACAGGGTGAGGCTCTGCTGGTGCCGTTGGAAAGTGCACCATGCGTGCGTGAGGAAGAGGGTGTGGGAGGGGGGAGGGAGGGAGGGGGACGGGGCGATGGAAGTGTGAGGAGAGCAGGGTTCATGCCACAAGGTTGTGCAACATTGTTGACTGGAAGTGGTGGTGGTGGTGGTGGTGGTGGTGGCAGGCAGGCGAGGGGAGGAGCGGCACCTTAGCGAGCAGCACGTCGGTGTGAGACGCCAGCGACCTGGCGACGTCCTTGTAGATGGGCACCATCTCCTGCGGGGCTCGCATGGAAGGGCACGGAAGAGCATGGAAGAGCATGGAAGAGCAGGCGCAACGGCAGGGGGAAGAATTGCGAGAGAGGGAATTGTGAGGCAGAGGGATGGGAGGGGAGGGGAGGGGAGGGGAGGGAGGTAAGGGATTGGGAAGCAAAGAGCCGGTGATGAGGACGGATGGCGAAAGACCGAGGGGGCAAAGGGCAACAAGTGGAGGGAGGGACGGAAACAAGAGAGGAACAGTGAGCAATGGGTGCGGCACCGTCAACAACGGCTCCGAACGAATCATGGATCACCCGCCTCCCCATCGCTGCACAAGCCTCCCCCTCGCACGGCACCGCACTGCACCTTGCTGAATCTGTCCCACGGCGCGTAGAAGAGCAGCAGCAGCTTGCTCCGGCCATCCGCCACCTTAGGCAGTGTGACATCGTCAACGTCCAGCACGCCCGCCATCGGCGCCTCCGGCTGCTCGTCGTCCCACTCGCTCGACACCCCCTCCACGCCCATCAGCCCGCTGTCCCCCGCGTCCGCGTTATACTCGTCCTCGTCGCTCACGCCATAGCGCTCCTCGTAGTCGCCGAAGTCCTCACCCGGCCCGATCCCGTCGAACGAGATGCCGTCGGCGAGGATGCTCCCGATGGCGTCCTGCGACAGCGCGAGCGCGAGCGACGGCGCGCGGAGGAGCGACGCGTGGAGGGAGAGGAGGAGGAGGAGGAGGAGGGTGGGGAGGGGAGAGGAGTGGGGGAGAGGCGAGAGAGTGTGGAATGGGGAAAGACGGGGACGCGGGGAGCGGCTCATGGTAACGGGTGGAGCGATGGCAAGCTGGAGGGTTGGCGGGTGCGTGGATTTAACGACGGGAGGAACGGAGGAAGGAATAAGGCGGCTGGATAGTTCAGCGTGCTTCAATCTGCCTTGAATGCCGACGCAGTGAATAATTCTAGGCAGGCCAAGGCATCTCATACAACTTTCTCGTGGCACCAATGGTATGGTAGTGACATGCGGAGGGATGACTAATGACAGCAGAATTAGGAGACTAAAGCGGGACCTGATCAGCTGGTCATTCAGTCTTCTCCAAAAAATGCGTCACTACGGCAGCTAGTAGAGTATGGCGTCAGCTGACAAGCAGCACAAATCCACATGACAGCCCTGCCAGCCGAATTCTTGATCAACACCGTTTAGGTGGAACGGCTACAAACGCGGATATTTGGGCCACTTTTGCTTTGGATCCTGGAAAGTGTACTCTACAGTGCGAACTTTTATACGAGGCCGTACAAACGAGAATATTACAGCAGCGAGCAAACAAATTGCTATCTGTCCAGCTGGGGGAGAGCTCCGAACAGGCCATAGCCACAACTGGAGTCCCCGGATCCCAGATTCAACCGCCATCATAGCTGTTTAGTCCCCAGTAATTCAGTGAAGTGAGGATTTCCCGCCTCGTTTCTCGCGCACGACGTCTCTGCGAATCTGTGCTCGGTATCCTCCACTTGCCTTAGTCGTGTGCCCGTTCCCCTCTGGCAGGGTCGATCTAGATCTGGTCTCGTCTGCACGCATTCTTGGGTGCTCAAGCGCAGCCGGGAAGGAGATCTGCCGGCCTCCCTAGTCCCGCTCTTTTTTCTCGTCGCGAACGCTTTGCGTCCCTTTTACGAAACGGTGTGCCCGCGCGATCGGATCGGCACGAGAAGCTTGCAGATAGGGAGAACGAGAGCAGAACGCGAGAGAGAGTGAGAGGGAGAGGCGAATTTGAGGCGAAGGGGAGCAGAGCAGAGCAGCAAGGAGGTGCGCGTGGGGATAGCGATGGGCGACGCACTGAAAGACGCCAAGGCTCTGATGGATCAATTGCGCAGCGCTTACAATCGCGACGACCTCCGTGCGAGCGCGTCGCTGCTGTCGCAACTCAAGGTGCGGCGAGGGTCTTGGACAGACCGCACATGGCGGAAGGTTCTTGATAGGCAGCACATGGCGGTGAACGGATTTTGAAGATCCGGATGAGGCTGGGAACGAGGGATTTGGGATTCGGATGCGAAGCAAGGGACTGGCGGGGATGGGTCGTCTTTTTTTGAGGCGCCTCAAAAATAGACTCGTCGTCGTGGATAAGAGGGATAGGATTGGCCTTAAGCTCGCGTGCTGTGGGGCGAGCAAGGTTCATAGGCGGCGAAGATAGCGTCCATTGTTCGTGCTGAAGGGTAGAAGGGTCGAGGAGTTGGAGAGTTGAAGGGTTAAAGGACCTTTCGCCGGCAGGCCCGTCGTGTCGATATTGCCATGTCGGGGGCATGTGACGTACAAGGCTTAAACTTGCTCCCAGGAAACAGAGTTCCACTGCTTGCTTTCTGTCATCTTTCGTCCTCACCTTGCAATACCGGTATCCCCTTCAAGTCTCTGCGTTGGTTCCACACGCTATGCTCCTTCACAGCAATCTCTTATCTCTACGCCCTGCGCCCTGCCCCCCTTCCCCATTTTCCCGTGCAGCTGAAGCTAACACTGCTGCCAGCGCTACCCCCGCTGTACCAGCAGTCGGCCACGGCTCAGGAAGAGCTCCTCCTTGCGCGTGCGTCTCACTTGCGTCCCCCTCTGCTCTCCTACCGTCTGATTCGCCTGTGCCATTCACGGCCACCCTTCTCTCGGTCCCCCTGCCTTTTTCCGCACCTCTTTCCACATCCCCCTCGTGTTCATTCCCTTCCTCGGATGCGTCTGCCCCATCTTGTGCGTCGCATCCACGGCGCCATGTCTAGCTGTGACGCGCTGGATGCGAGGATTGGCTTCCTTTTTCACGCTTTGAATACGCGCGTGTGACTGGCGTGGGCCGTGCAGGCGACGTGATGGAGCACGCGGTGCTGCTGAGCGTGAAGCAGAAGGACGAGGCCCTCTTCGAGCGCAACTACCTGCAGCTACGCACCTACTACACTGACACCAGGTGGGCACATCACAACCCTCGTTTCACCCCGTGTCCATCTCGGTCCACGGCCATATGAACCGCGCTTTGCTGCGTGCGTATTGTGCCTTCCATCCTGACTCTCTCTGCCTTATCCTGGCGTTACCTAAACCCCCCTACTGCAACAGTCTCTTCTCCCCGGCAATGTCTCCATTTTTTTCTCACCCCCATTCCTGATCCCAGGAGCGTCCTCCCTGCATCTGTGAACGAGCCTATCATTCTGGGCCTGAACCTGCTGCGCCTGCTGGTGGCGAACCGCATTGCAGAGTTCCACACCGAGCTGGAGCTGCTGCCAGAGGGCCTGGACGAGAACCCGTGTGTCAACACAGCAGTGCAGCTGGAGCAGGCGCTCATGGAAGGAGCGTATGCGCGTGTGCTCACCACACGCCATGCTGCGCCACACCCACTGTTTGCCCACTTCCTTGACCTGCTCATGCGGACTGTCAGGTGAGGGTTGTGTGAGGGGGATGCTTTATCACGTTTGTCCGTGCTTGCATATTTCTATAAGAATGTTTAGCGTCTTGCCTGTGTACTCGCTCTATATGTTTTATTCTCATTCATGACCGCGTTATGAAATATTTACATCACTGTTTCATCTGGTGTATTCATGTCCTCCCCATCCCTTCCTGCTAATTTCTGCCGACGACAGAGATGAGATAGCAGGGTGCAGTGAGAAGGCATACGAGTCCCTTGAGTTGAAGGATGCGTGCCAACTGCTGATGTTCACTAGCGAAGCAGAGCTGAAGCCCTATGCCGAGCAGGTAATAAAGCCATTGAATAGTTTTCCATTTGACTGTCCTTGTACTCCCATTTGTCCAGTCTCCTTTGAATTGACGTTGATGCTAGTTCAGTCTCCATTTGTCTTTGGAATCGTCTCTAGTTCTCAGTTCTTCCCTTCTCTCCTTGTTTTGGCTGCAGCACAACTGGGAAGTGCGAGATGGTTTTGTGTACTTTCAGCGCCCACAGCAGCAGCAACCGCGTGATCGGATGCCATCAATGCATCTTGTGAGCCAGGCGTTGGGTTATGCTAGGGAATTGGAGCGCATTGTTTGAATGGCTACATTAGCTGGAGGTGTTGGTTGGTTTGATTGTTTGTAAACAAGTATGCTTTAGGATGATCCCGGAACACCAAAATCTCGCTTTTGAAATTCATAAGGATCGTAGGTTTTGTACTAGTAGTTGTTGATTCAAGTTATTTTAACTGAACCTTATCCTAGGCTAATGCGCGTGGGAGAATGTTGTTTTGCTGTTCATTTCTTTGCACTCGTAGCGGTTCACTTGTTATCAAACCCAAACCTCGACCAGCCTCTTTCCTATTGGCTGGTGCAAGCTTCAGGACCGACGTTCACGCTAGTTGCCTGTGGCAATCTAGGAGCACGTTGTGCCTCCCTCCGGGAATGATTTCCTCAATTTCGGGGTTGACTTGCTGATCACGGGCGGCTTGAGGTCCCTAAATGCAGCCAACCAAACAGTAAGACAAGGGGGAAGAGTCCACAAGAGGGAAATTATCGACAGAAACGTTTTTAGCAGTGGTTTTGTTTTCTTGTCGCCATCGTTTCTTTCTGTAGCAGATCGCACGGTATCCGCGACCCGCCCACTTTTAGGCTGACCCGGCGTCGAAATATTTTTTTTGGGGGTTTTCCTCTCCTGTTTGGGTCTTCCATCGCGTCATTTTGACTCGCGTCAGTATGATTTTTCGGTCGGCCTATCGGCAGACGCTGTTTTCGCAGAAACAGGCACCTCACTATTCACCTGACTCCATTTTCGTCGCGTAGGTGCTTGCCACCCACCCCAGGCGATCAATCTATTTCTTCCACCTGAAACATTCCCCCCATCAGGGAACCCAACCTGACACCTGTCACCCTAGCGAGACTCTTGCCGATGCGTATGCCTGAGTGCATTATACAGTAACAAGCGTAGCTCTTGGCAACAAAACGAATCACACATGCTGTGTCAGTGACGACGTGGGATTCTTTCACCGCTAGTATTGCCAATCTGCTGATGCGCTCTCCCTGAAATGTGCGAAGTAAACAAATTGTTGTAGGGATGTTGTATGACGTATCATATATTATCGCCAAGGTGTTTCGTATCGTACATAAGGGAATCCACAGAGTGTCAGATGCATGCAATTTTAGAGGTAAATTTGTGGCTGGGTGGCCATGATATTGCCCATGGTTGAAATATTCTCGCACTCTCTCAAGAACATGTGACCCGATTTTAGTGGATGACGGGATGTTCATTGTTGAGGGGCATCAGTATACATCTCGAGATGCATGCTACTTCAATTTGCAGCTCGACGCCGTTGTCAGGCGCTACGATTTCCATATGAAGGAAGTGCTCAAAACGAGGGCAGTGGCGATATGCAAGAGCCTACAGCTAGGCATAGAGCCATATCAGTGGTGATGTGTCTACATGAAGGAGCGGAAAGGCGGGCTCTGGCGCATTGTGCTGCTGAACGAAATGGCGGGAGAGGTGGGCAACGGCGATTGCCAACCGCGTCAGCCACTTGTACGCGCATAGTGCCAACATCGTCCGCGCTACACCCCACACTGCCCCTGTTGGCATGGCAGCTCTTGCAAGGCATCAGTTCGGCCTCAACGTCCGCTATCATTAGGCATGGAAGTGAGCTTGAAAAGCGAAGTGGTCATACAAATGCTGATGCGCTTTGGAGGTTCCTACAAGGTATCCATCGAGCATTTGGCGTGACACATGTTTTAGTCCTTGGACTCCACCACCGCTATAATCTTATTAGCTCCACTCTCCATCTCCCCCTTGCGTTTTCCCATATTACCATAGGCTGAAGGAGGTGGTCAATATGGAGAGGCTTGGGACGTGGAAGGACTCTTTCCCACATCTCCCCAAGTTCAACGGATTCACACGATCGATTCGGATGGATTGGTGCGGCTGCTGATCAAGAACCATCGGTTCTATATGATTTTTTTCTCGCCCTCTGTCATGAAGCACGTTCTTCCGTACTGCTGACCAATCCTCGCTCTCGACGATACCTTCCTGGTAAAGAACCTCAAGGCAACGCTCCTGATTGCGGCTTGCCAGGACGGGAACCAACAACATGTCTTGCTGGTGTGGGCATTGGTGGAGAGCGAGAACAAAGACTCATGGAGCTGGTTCCTGCGTCATCTTCTCACGGTATCCCGGAAAAAACATTTCGACATCGGGTCAGCCTAAAAGTTGGCGGATCGCGGAAATCCTGCGATCAAAAGACATGGGAAGGGCGTGCGATCTGCTACAGAAAGAAACAATGGCGTCCACAAAAACCGCCACTGCTAAAAACGTTACTGGAATAATCTTCCCGTCCACGAGACTTGAGTTGGATTTGGGAATTTGTCTCGTCGGGAGGGGCATGTGTGGTGTCGAAGCGGCAACTGGCCTCCGTTTTCTGCGATTCGGGAATCGGGGGTCGGGGGTTGGCGTGCGACTTCGCGACAGAGTCGTAGAAGCACCTGCGATGCTTCTGCGAAGACCACAACAGCTTGTGAGATGATCGTATGGATCAGATTTACCTTTGTGCGACTTCTCGCTGCCAACGTGCAACCAGCTCCAGCCGCCAAGGCCTTGCCCCCAACCTTTTATCAGCTGGAGTGAACCCAACTTCCAGGGTTTGGTTCTGCTGTTGCAGTCACTCAGGTGTGTCTGGGCCAGGCAAGAAAAGCCTCAATGTTCTCAGACTGCCTGGTGATAGTAGACCATTTCCAGCCTTACTGATGAAATGGGATTAGATTACTACGAGGTACTCCAGGTACCGAAGACTGCGTCTGATGATGACCTTAAAAAGGCCTATAGGAAGTTGGCGATGAAATGGCATCCAGACAAGAATCCCACCTGCAAGACGGAAGCCGAGGCGAAATTTAAGGAGATTTCTGAAGCATACGAGGTAGTACCGAGTTTCTGTCCTTGCTGTCGTAGTCCGCTTAGATTGTTGTTCAAGGTCAGGACTCATTCACCCTTTCCCTTCCTGGCACAGGTCCTCAGTGATTCTCAGAAGCGAGCAGTGTATGATCAATATGGGGAGGAGGGACTCAAAGGACAAGTACCCCGCCAAGCAACTCCGAGTCAGCCAGGAACATCGAACGCTCCTTCTTCCAGCATCCCAAATCCTCACACTAACAGATTTAATCCGCGAAGCGCGGAAGACATCTTTGCAGAGTTTTTTGGGAAGAACCCATTTATGTCAGAAAGCGGTAGCTTCAGAGGCTCGAAGTCTGGTTCCCCTTATCCTGGCGACTATTATGGAACACCAGTACAAGAACCGTCGGGGCATAGCCATTACGTGGACCCTAGCTCCCCAGCACCTAAGAAAGGTGCACCTGTAGAGAACCGACTGGTCTGCTCCTTGGAAGAGCTTTACTCAGGGTCGACGCGGAAAATGAAGATCTCTCGAAATATTGTTGATACTACTGGGTACGTTCACGCCGCCCTCTTTCAGCTTACTCCTTAACGGCGGTTACTATACTGAAGTGTCGGAGCTCATAGTTTTTTTGTTTTTGTTTTTGTTTGTTTGTTTGTTTGTTTTTTTTTTTTTTTTTTTTTTTTTTTTTTTTTTCACAACTCCCCATGCGTTTTCAGGAAGATCACCCCGGTGGAGGAGATATTGACGATCAATGTTAAACCGGGATGGAAAAAAGGGACGAGAATCACGTTTCCTGAGAAGGGGAACGAGCAGCCAGGTCTCGTTCCGGCAGACTTGGTTTTCGTCATTGAGGAGAAGCAGCACGAGGTCTTCAAGCGGGAAGGCATTGACCTTGTGTGCACCCAAAAAATCAGCCTTGCGGACGCCTTGCTTGATTACACGTTGAACTTGACAACCCTGGATGGGAGACAGCTTTCAGTTCCCCTCAGTGAAGTAATTCATCCCGGCTATGAGAAGGTGATTCCCAGGGAGGGGATGCCAGGAAAGGAGTTTGGTAAGCGTGGTAACCTTAGGATTAGGTTCGATGTTAGATTCCCTTCTAAGCTGTCTGCAGAGCAGAAGATGGTATTGGCTCAAGTCTTCCCTAGAGAGTAGCGTTTTAGGTCGTGATGGTGGGTAGCATAGCGTCACTAGTTAGCTAGAACCTGTTAGCTTGAGTTGCAGTGTCCATGTATTGTAGCAGAAGCACGTAAAAGGGCTCAAGAGGCCATTGTGCATGCGTTTGTATGTATTAAATGTTGTCTAGTACAGCATGTTGGTTGGTGGTGGCTTTGTTGTTTGAATGTTTAATGAAATTTGATGGGTGGGCACCTTGTTGGTTTATGCACTTCAAAACAGACCGTTCACAATCTGAATGCCATGTTTAAACAACTTTGGGAAGACGAGGCAAGGCAGAAAACTGTGTGAGTGTTTCACTCCCTTCATCTGCACATACGGTATAAGGTAGTGCATGCTGTAGTACCGTATAAGGTTACCCAGTGGAGTGAGAACGATGCCATTTGCACTACAAGTAGCAAGCTTTCTCAATTTTTATATCATGTATGTTCCGACCGTATGGTACTGCAAATGGGTTATTGAGCGAGGGATGAAAGATGCGGGGGTCGCACGTTTCCCACCCAAGCAAGCGGGGGCATCGGGCTTTTTTCTGACGTGGCAGAACTTTCTGCAGGGGTTACGATCGACGCTGAAAGTGGCGGAATGGAGGTGGCGGAAAAAATGTTCTCGAGATTCGAGGCTGTCAACCCCTCAGAAGGTGGTCCCAAGAGATTTCCTCTTCAGGTGGTCAGCCACAGCGCCAGCCACCTCTCACCACAAGCTTCCTTATCTCCTCCGATGAGCGTCTGCCCTCCGCATCATCAGATCTAGCCGTCGATCCAAAGTCCCTGACAGGAAAGCCGAGGCGAAAGTTTTCGTCCCGTGCCCGTGGAGCAGAACCTGCTGCCCCCAGCCAAGGCAAGCCCAAGCGTCTCTGTGGTTACCAGCCCAGGCCACCCATACCTGACCTGACCCCTCTTACCTCCCCCTTGCCCGTGCTGCTCTTGGCTGATCTCTGAACCCCTCTCTCCCTCCTTACATACACCACCTCTCCATCACTTCAACTCCTCTTGCGCGCCTAAGCCAGGCAAGGCTGCGCCTAGTTTTCCTGCTCTCTCAAGCTCCCTTCAGACGCTCTTTACGCTCTTCCCAGAACTCTCGTAAGTCCTTGCTAAACCCCTCTGCACAGTTAGGACTCGGATCTCTCATTGTCTCGCAAGCAGCCGGTACTAGTGCTTACCTACTTTCTATAGTGATGCTGCGTCAGGAACGGAGCTCTTTTTTCTTGCTTGCTTCCCGACCAAGCCACAGGCTGCTTAGGATTAAACGTCTTGTTTCAGCTGTGTTTTGTTTCCCGATTCTCTCTTGCCCGCATACAGTGCAAGCTTAATCGCTTTTCTTGTTTTTTCAAGAAAGCTTTCCAACATGGCTGGCATGGCTCCCGAAGGTTCGCAGTTCGACGCGAAGCAGTATGACAGCAAAATGGCAGATGTGTAAGTTAGAAGTGTCCACTAGAGTCTTAGGAGCACCTCCCCATGCACTTCATTCGGTTGCGGGGTTTTTATGCAATTTCCTGGGTGTCGTTTCTCTGTGTCCGTATGATTATTTCACAACCGTTTGATCGTGCATTAGGTGTTTTGCTTAAAGCCCTCCACAAGAAGTACACCGACGCAGTCGATGTCGTTATGTGTCGATCGTGGTGCAGGCTTGCTAGCGAGGGCGAGGACTTCATCTCCACCTGGGACGAGGTGCACGAGAGCTTTGATATCATGGGTCTCCATGAGAACCTTCTCCGTGGAATTTACGCTTATGGTAGGTTTCTGGCTACGAACTATACGTTTTTAGAAGGGAGTGGAGGAAGGGTTCCAAGAACAACATACATGATCAAGGAGACAGAAGATCACCGCAAGAGCTCAGCCTCTGATCTCTGCTACATGACTCGCGTCAGCAGCTATTTTTTAGGCTGTGTTATTTATTTCCGATCAATCTCCTACACCCGGCCACACCAGGTTTCGAGAAGCCCTCGGCAATTCAGCAGCGGGGGATCGTGCCGTTCGCCAAGGGTCTGGACGTGATTCAGCAGGCGCAGTCCGGAACCGGCAAGACGGCAACGTTCTGCTCGGGCGTGCTGCAGCAGCTGGACTACAAGCTGCTCGAGTGCCAGGCTCTCGTGCTCGCGCCCACCCGTGAGCTGGCGCAGCAGATCGAGAAGGTCATGCGCGCGCTTGGCGATTACCTGCAGGTCAAGGTGCACGCGTGCGTCGGTGGCACCAGCGTTCGCGAGGATCAGCGCATTCTCCAGGTCCGTGTCTTGTGACGCAAATGCTTACCGATCTTATTTCAGAAGGCAGCTTCAGATCGAGTGTGTCGTCGTGAGAGTTAATTGGTCGTCTCTCTCTTCTCAACTAACTTCTAAGTCCATTTCGTCTGGTCTGCAGGCTGGTGTGCACGTGGTGGTGGGTACCCCTGGTCGCGTGTACGACATGTTGCGTCGCCAGTCCCTTCGTCCCGACCACATCAAGTGCTTCGTGCTCGACGAGGCCGACGAAATGCTTTCCCGCGGTTTCAAGGACCAGGTCCGTGCTCAATCAGTCGATTCGCCTGGCACTCCCGACTCTTGGAACCAATATTTCGCGTCGTTGAAGCTTCGGATCAGGCCGTAGATGCAGCTCTACTTTATCCGTAGCTAAGAATCGACGAGGGACGATCCGTGTGTTGGCCAGATAGCGAGGCCTTCCCATGGTTTGCTGGTTTGGCCAGTCGTCTCACCATTGTCCCTGTGTGCACCTCGCAGATTTACGACATCTTCCAGCTGCTGCCGCCGAAGCTGCAGGTCGGCGTGTTCTCCGCCACGATGCCGCCGGAGGCGCTGGAGATCACGCGCAAGTTCATGAACAAGCCCGTGAAGATTCTGGTGAAGCGCGACGAGCTCACGCTGGAGGGTATCAAGCAGTTCTACGTGAACGTGGAGAAGGAGGAGTGGAAGCTGGATACGCTCTGCGATCTCTACGAGACCCTTGCTATCACGCAGGTGGGTGTCCTGTTCTGCTGGCACTGTCTTGGACGGCTTTGGCTTGGTGGTTGATGATCCTCACCGGTTTTCCTTGTTTGCTGGGATAGGTATGTAGATCGTGAATGTATTTAGAAACCTCACGAATGGTAGCGTCACTGGGCTAGGTTTTCCCGACCCTTATCGCTCCGTCTGCTGCACGCGTGTCTGTGTGTGCTGGTTGCAGTCTGTCATCTTCATCAACACTCGCCGCAAGGTGGACTGGCTCACGGACAAGATGCGCAGCCGCGACCACACGGTGTCGGCCACGCACGGCGACATGGACCAGAACACCCGTGACATCATCATGAGGGAGTTCCGCTCCGGCTCGTCCCGTGTGCTCATCACCACCGACCTGCTGGCCCGTGGCATTGACGTGCAGCAGGTGGGGGAGTGGCTGTTTCACCCGTGTATTGTTGGCAGATATCTCTTCCCCCTGTTACCCCCCTTTCCCCACCCCACTTTCCGCTACTCTTTGCCAACCCGTTGTTTCCCGCTCCAGCCTTATCTCCTGTTCCATGTTAGTGCTGCTTCCCTTAATATTTTCATTCACCTTCCCGCCCCCATTTTTTTTCACTGCTTCCCCCAGGTGTCTCTTGTCATCAACTACGACCTTCCCACTCAGCCCGAGAATTACCTCCATCGTATTGGTCGGTCAGGTCGGTTCGGACGTAAGGGCGTGGCCATCAACTTCGTGACCAAGGAAGACGAGCGCATGCTGCAGGACATCCAGCGCTTCTACAACACAGTCATTGAGGAGCTGCCCAATGATGTGGCCCAGCTTCTGTAAAGAGTTTCTGCCCTGAGTCAGAGAGCCTGGTTCTGGGCTCGAGCAGGCTGGCTGGTTGCTGTGGCTTGTCGCTGGTGGTGCTGCCGAAGGCACGTGCTAGGGAAAGGATGTGTTTCCAAGGCCAGAGGCTAGCCAGGGCTTGATCCCTGGGCTTGACGTGAAGTGATGCTGTTTGTTCCTATCTGGTTTCTAGTAGTAGAACAGATTCCAAGGGCTTCCCAGCCCCTTAATTTTTTACCTCTTTTTGTCGTGCTTCACTACATTGTTCGTAGTTGCCGTTCAAAAATGAAACTCTGTCCAGAGCCAAGTATTCACTCCGTATCGGTGCTACTTGTTAGATCTGTTACCTTTATTCTAACGCGAAGTTGTATTTTACTGTTCGATGTAATAATACTGGTACAACATACTGCAACATTTACCGTGACAGCCAACCCCAGATTGTTCCGCCCGCGCTTCGCGCCTTTCCGATCACGTTGGCAGGAAGCTCTGGTCTTCTCTGCTCGTGCATGTCGCATGGAGCTGGGCAGCGCGCTGCAGAAGGGCGTGTCAACTTCACCACTCCGTCTACACGTGTCGTGTAGTTCTCTTCCGTACCTCAATGCCACGTCATTTTTCTCCCGGGGACAGCTGTTCCGGGCTCCAGCCTACCCGTCTGCGGAGCAGTCTCAAGGTCCTGGCTAACCAGCTAGTTGAGGGAGGGTCAAATTCCGCACCGCTTGACCCGCAAAGGCCCAGCGAAATGCGGCTCGAGGGGGGAAAGGATGCGGGGGGGATTTGGGGAATGGGCGTGGTGGCTGACCACATGACCTCGGGAATTCCGAACAGCCTGGCTAAGCCGAGCCGACGCGACTGCCTGATGGAATGGCGAGATGGCGTAGTGCGCGGGGAGAGAGGAGAGAGCATGGCATGTGCGACGCATATGCCGGATGAGGACGAGAGCGAGGGAGAGAGAGGCAGGGGCTTGCCGCGTCCAGGAGCGAGGACGCGAGACGGGAGACGGGGAGAGGAGGAGATTTTGGGATTCATAGCAGCAGGGGTTTCTCCTTTCGGCCGAGGAGTGAGGCGGGCTGAAGCGCGAGAACGCTGGGAGGGAGAAGGTGCCGTCAAAGTGGGCGACAGGACGAGGCTGTTTCTGACTGGTGCTGTCTAAGGGTTTCGTTCTCGGAAGTCACGCACGCACTGCAGCAGCAACGTCGAGTCGAGCCTCCCGGCACGCGAGTTATCCGCTTCTGGATTCGGATGCTCTGGTAAGGCCTGGCCATCTTCTCCGTCAGATTCAGGCAAGGTGGTTAGAAGGTCCATTGTTCCGGAATCAGATTCCTAGAATCTTGTTAGTAACGAGCGTATCTAAGTATTCTCCTTATCTCCTTCGGGTAGTAGTTAATTTAATCCGTGTCCGGTTCCTTGCAGGTCCCCGTGATATCAGCTGCGTGAACAAGAACCGCTGTGACCGGCCATGGAGCTTCTCAGCAGTGTCAGTGGGTTCCGGTCATGACATCTGCATGGCGTGCAGGCAGTAAATTATCGTCTGCATCATCATCATCATCATCATCACCAGCATCAGCATCAGCATCAGCAGCAGCATCTGCACTCGAAGTGGTGAAGCAGCCTTTTCAAGAGGTCCTGGAAGCTGTCCGTCGCCCTTGTGTCAAGGATTCTACTTATCAACCCTTTGAAGACTTAGCTTCAAGGGTTGGAAATTAAGTTACCTCTAATATTACCAGCCTGTGGCTCTCAAAGGATTCCACTGATCAGCTCTACAGTTCTGCTTTGCTACCTCCAAGTGGTAATCCTTTCGTCCTGCTTTCCAGCCTGAGGATTCTTAGTGGAGCCTGATTGTTCCCTGGCAGCGGATTCAGCACACAGATGGAGGAAGGCACGCCAACCAGCTCAGCAAAGGTAGAGGTGGAGCCAGGAATTGAGGTCCATGTGAATGTTACTGGGACACGTCATCCTCCTCCTCCTCCTGGTGACACCGGTGCTGACGTGGAGGCAGAGGACATGGACCCGGAATCGCCTTCCCTCATGAGCTACATGCCCTTGGATCTGCTGGAAGACGACGGCCAGGATGCTGCTGCTGACGCATTGGATGGCTCAGATCAAGGCAGATCCGGTGGGGAGGACGATGGAGGTGGAGAGGAAGGGCTGGGGCTAGGGCCAGCCCCTGTGCTGGGATTGGACCATGGCGGGGATGGTGCTGATGGTGATGTTGCTCGTGCTATTGGTGGCCTTGGTGGGTTTGGTGCTCATGGTACAATTCTGGGTGCTGGGTATGGCGAAGATGGGTGCAAGCTCCAGATTTCGCGTCGAGTGAAGGCTGGTGCTGAGGGCATGGCGTCTCTCGCTCTTGGCTTGCCGGGAATGGGTGGTCACATGGGTGGAGTGAGTAGTGATTTGCCCCAGCCCTTGGGTAGAGCCGTTGGTGGTGCTGCTGCTGGGATTGGCCTGGGGATGTCAGCAGAGGCAGAGAAGGGAGAAGGGTGGGGCCTCTTGGGTAAGAGGCACGCGGATATGATTGCTGATGCTGATGTGGCGGCTGGCGGTGGCGGTGAGGGGGGTGGATGGGGGGATGCAGCTGCTGCGCTTGGCATGCAAGAGAGGATCTGGTGCTCGTTTGGCCTGCAGAGCTGCAGTAACCTGAGGAGGGGTAAAGTTGAATCTGGAATGCAGCAGCAGCAGCAGCAACAACAACAGCCTCAGCAGCAGCAGCAGCAGTTTGAGGCGCCAATGGGGTGGGAAGTTCCAGTGGAAGAGGAGAGGTTCTGCATCAGGTGCAAGGGATCTGCGGAGAAGCTCAGGCACGAGATCAAGGATCTGAAGCTCACTCAGGTATGTGTATTGCTGCTGCTCTCCTGCACCACTGCTCTTGGTGCAAAGATTCTCTGGTTACTTATCGTCCATTGCACTCAGTCCGTTGCGTGTGCCTAGGTACCGTGCCTGACATTGCTGAGAATTCCATGTGCCTTGTGTGCGTGCAGAGGGCGTTGGAAGCGGAGCTGGTGTGGGCCATGGAGGGCAAGCTCAAGGCGGAGCAGGCAGTGGCAGAGCTGGGGCAGTCTAGGAAGGACTCGCCACTACAGCACAAGGTAGGGTAGCTCTGCCACCAATGGTGCGACGGAATAATTTGCAGCATTCAGTGTGCCGCGTCGCTTGCTTCCGTGAATTGGGCTAATGGCGCTGTATGGTCTTGTGTGCTGTGCTGTGCTGTGTTGGTGTTTCCCAGGTGCTAGAGAGCTTTGACTGGGCAGCGAGCATGGATGCATCCGCGGACAGCAAGAGGTGATACTCACGCTCATGCCACTCTTGCATCTGTTAGCTGCATGTGATTGTGTTTTGGTTTCATGGATTCTGTACTGCCTTCCCTTTTCCTACCTTGACACAGTTTGTGTGCGAATCTTGTGACTAACAGGGCGAAATGGCAGGGGGAGGAGGCGAGGCAGCATGGGCGGGTGCAGGGAGGTAAGGAGCAGCAGAGGGAGCAGCAGAGGGTGGTGGAGTTGGAGCGGTACGTTGAGCGCATAACAGCTCAGTTCCAGGGGCTGCTGGGGAGCTACAATTCCGTCGCCAGCCAGCTGCAGCAGGCGCAGGCTGAGACCTCTCGAGTAAGCACGTTTTCTCTCTGATTCGTTTTCTTTCAATGAGTGAGTGCAAGTGACGTGACCCCCTCCGGCGTAACGGCGACTTGTGTTCTTGGGAAATGAGTGCACTGTGTTTTCAGAGCATTTCCTGCAATTGGCCCTTCCCTCGTGCACTCGTCCTGGGCCCCCGTCGCTCACTCATCCCTCTCTCTTCCCACCCGCGTTCCCCTTCCCAGCTTCGTGCCGACGCCTTACAGCTGAGGGCTGCTAACATGGACTTGCTGCACCGGGGGCAGATGACAGCCACCTCGCCCGTCATGGCACTGGTGCCGCCGCACACCCCGCTGGGTTTCACAGGAGAGAGCCCTGCACCGCCTGGTCTGGCGTTGCTGCGCACTTCATCACGTATGATTCCTCCTTGATTCAGTGGCCTTGCCCCCATGTGCTCACTGCCTGCTTGACCGCATCATCCATGCGCCCGTGCATCCATCCATGGGTTATCCTCGCTTTCGCGTCCGTTGTGTGGCGTTGGGCGTTATTGAGACCATGTACCCGCCTCTTTCTCTTCTCCCTGAACCTCTCACCGTGTCCCCTGTGTATTCAATGCAGCATTGGCTATAGGCGCCAGGCAGCAGCAGCAGCAGCCGCCACCGCAGGGCCTGGGCGTGCCTCTCTGGTCGCCACCACTGGGAAAACTACCACAACAGCAACAGGAAGGGCAACCGCAAGGGCAACAGCAAGGGCAACTGCAAGAGCAACGCTCCAGGAAGGATGCAGGGCAAGTGATGGAGTGTGGCGATGGCCTGCCAGCAGCGGCCGCACTGCAAGCAGCACAGGCAAGCCCTGACCTTGGCGCGGCCAGGCGCAGAGATGTGGTGTTTGCTGCTGGCGCTGTGGAGGAACTGGCAACCACAGAGGAGAGGATCAAGTCATTGCTGGCGGAGGTACAGAGGCCTGCTGCGGCTGTTGCTGCAGCCGTTGCTACGGCCGTCCCGCCTGTGGCAGAGTCCGGAAAGCCAGCTGGTTCTGGGGCGGAGAGGACAGAGCAGCAGCAGCTGCGGGGGGAGAAGCACGAGAAGTGGGTGAGAGGAGAGGAGGAGATGCTGGAGGGAAAAGAGCCGTTTGACGTGGAAATGCGAGAGGAGGAAAATGCTGGCAGTGGATCAGCGGCCTCTGCTGCTGCTGCTGCTGGCGGCACAGGAGCGCCCCCTGCGAAGCCCATTGAATCCAACAGCCTCTTGCAGTCCGGGCGTGCTGTTCTGCAAGCATGCTCCGCTGCACCTGCTGCTGCTGCCGTCACTACAGCGGCATCACCAGCAGCACCACTAGCAGCAGCAGCAGCAGTTGCCAGAGCAGTGAAGGATTCATTCTCTCTCTTCACTCCCATGCCGGTGACTGGCCGAGCAGGGTATGTGGAAACACCAGAGCTGCTCCACTCACGCCATTTTGAATTCACAGCCCCTGGAAAAGCGCCTACAGCAGGTGGAGAAGGATTGGCGGTGGGGCGGGCAGCAGCAGGATTTGCAGCAGAGCCGGATGTAGCAGAATCAGCAGGCTCAGGAGCGTCCGAGTCAGCAGAGAGACCTGCTGGGGTGTCCAAGAGCCCAGTTGCGCTCTCCCAGCCAGACGAGAAGATGCATGACGTGGAGCCACGTCAGCCTGCTGCCAATGCACGTCAGCTTCACTCCCAGCTGGCTTCTGGAAGACCTGGCGATGCGTCTTGGCCCTCCCTTGCTGCGCCCAGCTTCAGTGCTGCTGTCATGTCAGGTGTGAGAGGAGGGCGGCATACAGATGCTGCTGCTGCTGCTGCTGCTGGTGGTGCTGATGCTGCTGCTGCTGCTGCTGCTGTTGGATCCCCACCTGCTGCAACTAAGTTACTTGCTGCTGCTGCCGGGGCTGCTGCTGGTGCTTGTGGTGCTGCAGGGTCAAGTGCTGCTACCCTTCCCATGCCCTCACCAGTACTCACTCCGCTGTCATCTCGCCTCATGCCCTTCCACTCTCGCCTAGTCACCGCCAGCATCCCAATGACGCCTTCCCACACCTTCTCCTCGCCCCCCACACCCTTCTCTCTCTCCGCTCCCACCATTGCTCCCGTTGGCTCGCCTCCTACCCCTCAACCTAGACCTGCAGCTGCTACAGTTAAAGCTACACCTACAGCTACAGCCCCTGCACTGGCTGTTACCCCAGGTGCTGCTTTAGCTTCTTCCGCTGGCGCTGCAACGGGTGGCGCTGCTGCACGTGTGAGGCCATGGGGCAGCAGCAATGGGGATGGCAATGGGGGCAAGAGCAGCAAGGGCAGCAGGAGCAGCACTGGAGGGAAGCCAGTCGACCCTGACACAACCATGTCCGAGGCAAAGGAGGAGCGAGCGGCACAGGGGAGAAAACCTGCTCAAGTGAAAATATCTCCACCTGCGCATGCTGACGTCATGCCAGGTATCACTCCCGGTGTTCTAGCCCCTGGTTCCGTGAACCGCCCATCGTCTCAGCCGCTGAGACTTGCCCCGGGCTCCCACCCGGCTCGCTTCACCCCTGAACTGTCCCCCAAGTCCGTTACCGCCTCCACACGACCTCCTTCTTCCAAGTCCATTGCAGACGCGCAAGCTTGGCTGAGAGCCAGCAAACCTGCCAGCCCTGCAGGAGCATCAGCTAACGCCCCTGGCTCAACGCCTGCTGCCATTCTCGCTCCCATGGCTCCTGCTGTCCCCTTGCGTGCCCCTAAGCTGGTGGAAGGTATAGTGACGTCTATTGTGTCTGAAGGCACGGCTCTGCTGCCTGTGAGCCCTGCTGAAGCCCTTGCTGCCACTTCCCAGCCACTGCCGCTGCCCCTGCCTAAAAGCATCTCTGTTCGAGCCAATCAACTGCCTGCAGGCGCTGCTGTATCTGCTCTGGGGGGAAGAGAGAGAGGGGGAGCAGGAGAGGGGCTGGGGAGAGGTGCAGGTGGGAAGGTGGGGGGTGGTGCTGGTGCTGCTGCATCGTCTAGGGATGCTGCGTGTTCTGCTGTTGCTGATGCATTGCTAAGCCCTCCCCCGGGAATTGCCCCTGCTGCTGCTGTTTCTGCTGCTTCAGCCGCTGCTGCTGCCGTGAGAAACAGCGGCAGGAAAAGAGGGATGGGGGGGGCAGCATCGGAAGCTGCGGCAGTGGCGGCAGGGAGGGGAGTGAACAACAGCAGTGTGACAGTAGCGAGGGAGAGGGGCAGGGAGGAGCCGCAAGTGGGAGGAGGAGCAAGGGCGACAGGGGCAGCAGCAGCAGGAGCAGCTTCCAAGGGGGACGAGCTTACGATGACAAGAGTGGGGTCAGTAGCAGGAGCTGCATCGGCAGCAAGGGACAGCGGGCCATCCAGTGGGAGTGGAAGGATGGGGGGGGTGGGCGGTGAGGGGAGCTTGCGGCCTAACCGAGGTGGGCCTGCCCCTGCTGCCTCAACCGCAGCTGCTGCTGCTGCTGCTGCTGCTGGCGGTGTTGGTGCAGGGAAGGGGAGTGTCTTCTCCCGCTTGGGGTCTGGTACTGGAGGAGGAGGAGTAGGAGGAGGAGGGGGGGGCGTAGCAGCACGGCGTGAGGAGGTAACGGGCAGCCGTGCATGGGTAGACAGCGAGCGGGACACAGCACCGGGTGCTGCGGCTCGCAGCCGGCGCAGGGAGCGGAGGGTGGAAGGGAACCACTCGTCGGAGGCTAGACCCAGCAGGAGTGGAAGTGCCTCGAGCGACAGAGGCAGGGGGAGGGATGGGCCGAGGGAGAAGAGTGAAGGTGCCACGTCAGGCATGGGAGGAGGGGGGGGAGCAACGGCAGTGGCGGCAGCAGCAGCAGCAGCAGCAGCAGCAGCCGCAGCGCTGGATGTGTATGATCAGGGGACGTACAAAACTGAGCTCTGCAACAAGTGGGAGGAGATGGGCACCTGCCCCTACGGCAACCGATGCCAGGTATGGAGGGCCTTCTGTAGTCTTAGTGTGTGCGCTAAGCTATGTTGCTCGTTCTTGTTAATTTTTTTCTTTCACAAGCAATGAGCCTTGGGTTGTGGTTTACCTCCCTGCAGTTTGCCCATGGAGTTGACGAAATGCGACCTATTCTAAGGCACCCCCGTTACAAGACAGAACTTTGCCGCATGATTGCTTCAGGAAAGCAGTGCCCATATGGCCATCGATGCCATTTCAGGCACGCCATGACCCAAGAGGAACGTGCGTTCCTTTATATGTTTTGAATTTCGTTCAGACATGTAGTAGGAATGAATACATTTTCCCCTTTATACTTTTGTAGGTTTATGTATATTCCTACGTTTTCTAGTTTATCAGAAGATATAATCAAGGTTAGACGTGGAGCATTTTGCCTTCATTTTGAGTAGCATTTTGCCCTCATTTTGACAAGAGGAGGTCATGTCAATATACCTTGACATGTTTAGTAAAACAATACGATTGGATTGTTCCATGTACCCTGAGCCTCTTTGCGTTAGCCTCTTTGTGCTTGGATCCTTTACATAAAAGGAGATTGTTGAAGAAACATGGCGAATAGAATTGTTGATGTATGTATTTGTACATGTTACGATTATATAACACATGACCACTGTATGTTCTGTTCATGTGAAGTCTTCTCAAAATAATATATTTTGATATGACACGCCATGCGGGGCTGAGATGGTTGACATGCATGAAAGGCAGCTCCATTCAACAGCTGCAATTTCGGGCTGGGTCATCGGGCAGCCCAGTCAGCCATCGGCCAATCGAAGGGCTCTGCGTCCCTCGAACGAACAAACCATCACCGTCAAGAATGGCGTCCCATCGATGTTGCCCGAATCTCAAGTCGGAGGAGACGGTCAGTCACGTTTGGAACGGACAGTCAGTTTCTCCAATCGCCAATTCCCAGTGCTGTCGTCACGTCAGTCCCTCAATGTCAATGGTCGCCTCGTCAGGGGTTCCATCTCAGTCATTCCTCGGACTCTGCCTATCAGGGCGCATTCGGGGACCCGTCTTCTGGTGCCACTAAGCTCCCTGGTTCACACATCGCGTTTACACAGCACAATGCTTTCTTAGCAGGACTTGGTGGTTGGACTGTAAGTAAGAACAGGCCCCGAAACCCAGCAGGGAAGGGAGGTAGCCATACCCAACCCAACCCGCCTTTCTGATGAGCTTGGCGTAGAGAGTCAACTACAGCAGATGCTCCTCTCACCAACACACGGAGCACAAGAGCGGCATGGATTTCCGTGATTCCCGTTGCTTCATCCTTGATGCCATAGGTAGCCTACTCCATCCTGACGCACGTCGGGCAAGCTCTTAGTAGCGTTCCTAGCCGTTAGAATCCGAAGTCAGCCTACTTCCTCTTGTTTCTACTTACGCTTGCCTACTACCCTCCCTAAACTCCGTTGCCTCGCACTTGGTCGAGCGGTTTAGGCGCTTAGTCCGCGGCAGCGGAAGCCTATCGGGATATGGGCATGGAGGCCATGGAAGCGTCGGATAGCGCAGGAGGCGACTCTAACGGATTCGTGGATCTGGGAAGCATTCTTGGCGGAGATCGATGGACATACGTCAACGATGACGTCAGTTCCTCCTTCGCCCTATTTTGAACCTTGTTGGGGCCTTTTCCGTTGTTAAGCTTGACTGTCTTACCTGACGCTTTGAGGTGCTTAACGTGCGTGCGACTTAACGGATTTCTTGATGTAGCCATTCTAGGTCTATCCTAAATGCGTAGGGATGGCCTGATGATTCCGAACCTTTTTCACCTAATGATTTCCTGACGACTCTTTTATGCCATGTTTCGACCTTCCTTACTGTTAGAGGTCTATACATAAGCTATTCAAGCCGGGCGAACCGCTTTGACTCGTTTGGTTGACCCCGCCCGCTCATGCGTCCTGCTTAGGATTATTCGACTTTCTTGGCCTCCCTGTTTTAGACCGTCCTCTGGTTGCTTCATGCGTCAGGCTTTGCCTCAGCTCCGCCTTCCGCCGTGCGTGCATCGCCCTTCATAGATCCCCCCATCGTCCCCTTTCTCCCTTCCCCTCCGCCCCTCGCAGCTGACAGCCAGCACGGGGAGCAACAGTAGCGCGTCTGGTGCTATTCCTGGCGGGGCTTCCCCATCCCATGAGTTCCTGCAGGTTACAGGGGGGGACGCGCAGGTGGCGAACGCCTACAGGGGGGACAACGCTCATACGACTTTTCCCTGCACCACCGGCATCCACATCAGCGGCACCGGCGGCGTCAGCAGCAGCAGCAGCAGCCGGTGGGACGGCGGGTTCTTTCGCTTGGACGGGCGGAGCTCGGTCTTCTCCGCTGTGCCCTGGCGAGGAGCGCCTGACAGTGCCGGTATTGGCGGCGATGGTGCTCATGCTGTTGCAGGCGGGCCCAGGGGGCTGTCGCAGAGTGTCTCCTTCGCGTTTGATGCCGCGGCGAGTACTGCGGGTATGGGTGCCGGTGGTGTGGCGTCTGCTGGTCTCGGTTCTCACGGCCGTGCTGGGGCATGGGCCGCGCAGAACCGCCTGGGGTGCAGTATGGCGGACGGCAAGGACTTGGCGGGCCAGCCTGGCGGTGGTAGCGCCAGCTGCGGCAGCAGCAGCAGGATTGGCGCGGCTAATGCGGTGTCGAACGACGGTGGCGGGTTAGCTGGAGCAGCAGGGGGGGGTGGGAGTGCGGGGGAAGCGACTGTGAACAGCAGCAGCAATAGCAGGAGCGGCGGTGGTGGCGGCGGCGGTGGTGGCGTAGCAAGCAGTGGGAGATGTGCGTTTCCCTGGTGCAGCTCAGCTCGTGACGCCCTGCCGTCCCTGCTGCCCACGGAACAAGTGGTGCTGGAGGTAAGCAGCAGCGGCGCTCATGCTCATGCAATCGATCATGCTGCAGCGCCTTCCAGGGCAGAGAGGCGCGCCAGGTTGCCTGAAAGCCATTCCCGCTGCCCTGCCCGCACCCTTCCTTGTGCTGACTGGTCTGTTCCCTGTGTGTCGGTGGCAGGAGCCCAATACCCTGCTGGTCAACACGGACACCACAGGCCACCTCCTGCTCACCTCGCTCCGCCTCCTCTTCCTCTCCGCCTCCCCCTCTCCCGCCGCCCTGCCGTCCTCTGCCTACCCCGCCTCCCCACCGTCTGCGCTGTCGCCTCACCCCCTGGGCTCGGTGTTCTTCCCTGTGATCGACCGGGTCACCAAACTGGTGCGTGCGCGACGGCCAGGCTTGTGTCACCGAACTGCTTCCCCCCTTCTGCGCTACATTGTGCCACCCGCCTTGTTCGCACTCTAAACCCCTCCCGCACGCTGTCAACTTTTCCCGTTGGTTCCAGTCTCCTAGTGCTCAGTGTCGACCGCGGTATCTAACCCATCTCGTGCCTGACTCCCTGTTTGCTTGCATGTGCCGTGTGCAGCCCCCGGGTCGTCTGGCACACAGCAGGGACCAGCTGCTACAGGTGCACAGTAAGTGCTGCTTCCGTACTATTGGTGTTCCGTGTGCCTCTGTTTCCTGCAGTGAGCTCACGCCTTGGAAAGTTTCTCATGTTCTATCGCTGCTGCTGTTGCCGTTGCTGTGAGCAGCCAAGGACGCTCGAGTGCTGGTATACGCTCTGCCTCCTCGCATGTGCCGGCAGGTGTGTGTGAGCGTGTGTGCACGCCTGCCCTTTCCGCCGCTTCTCATCCTTGTTCCCGTTTCTTTAGGGCCTCTTTTCCCCCGTCCTTTTTCAAATTCCGGCCTTCTCCGCAGCGCATTGTGCCCCTCTCCTGTCCCGTTCGTCCTCCCTGCTGCCAACCAACACCTTTATGTCCTGCTGCCCTGGTTGATTACTCCTCTCGTTTGCTGTGCATGGATGCGCACCGCGCCACATGGCTGTACAGGTGCCACCTTTGTTTGACACCATCATTCACCTGCTGCCTCGCTCACTGCTCGAGCTGCCGGTCTTCCACCCACCCCTTGCTGCGCTCGCCACGCCCACTGCCGCCGCCACCAGCACCACCAGCACCACCAGCACCACCAGCAGCACCAGAAGTGGCAACAGCAGTAGCAGCAGCAGTGTGGGCAATCTGGAGGAGGCTGGTCTCTCACCCACGGCACGGGCCTCGTACGGTGCTGGCGCTGCCACTCCTCCCCGCGCCTGCACACCCCCACTGCCATCGCCACCAGCAGCAGCAGCAGCAGCAGCAACACCAGAGCTAGCAGCAGCAGGAACACCGTCATTACCAGCAGCATCAGCATCAGCAGGTGCGGCTATGCATGCAGTGGGCGTGTGGGCAGCGCACGAGCCGTCAGCAGTTATAGTGGCGGAGTACACGCGAGTGCTGGCCATGCTGCCAGAGCAGTGGCGGCGCCTGTGGCAGATCAGCCGGGTCAACGCCTCCTACGCTGCCTGCTCCTCCTACCCGCAGCGCCTGCTCCTGCCCTCCTCCATCAGGTGCGATTGCGCTGTGCCGTGGTTTGTGGTTTTAAACAACTTCACATCGCAGCCGCGTCCTCCGTTCGCCCGCTCCCTCCACCCACCCGCCCCTCCCGCCTTGACCCCCTTCTCTCTCCACTTGACTTGCCAAACCCCTCACGTCACCATGTACTTTCTATTGTTCATTCAGTGTGCACACACTTATGTGCGAACCGCTTCCTGACCACCATTGCTGTGCTGTGCTGTGCGTTCCCCTTGTGTGTGGCACCAGTGACGAGGACGCCATGGCATCTGCCGCCTTTCGAGCCCGAGGCCGCTTTCCTGTCATGTGCTGGCAGCACCCAGGTGTGCGCGTGCGCGTGTGGGTGTGGGTGCACACAGGCGTGCGTTTTTTGTACATTAATGTGTGGCCATGTGTATGGGGAGCGCACTTACATCCATGTGGTGCCCCTGAATGCGTGTGTACTGTTCCTTTACGACTTCCCTCTCCACCTTTGCACCACCACCTCTCTGTCCGTGCATCCGTACCCCTCTATCCGTTGCACCCTCTTCTCTCGGCTTCTTTCCCACCCTCGCCTTCCGTTTTCCTTCCGCTTATTCCCCTCTCTCCAGGCAATGGCGCTGTGCTCAGCCGTGCAGCGCAGCCGCTTGTGGGTATCCTTTCCAACAACCGAAGGTACCGCCACTCCCCTGCCACACCCCTGCCACATTCCTGCCACACCCCTGCCCTCGCTTCCCATGCCCGTAATCCACCTGCCGCTGCTCTTGCATGTGCCATATTTTGTGGGTTCACGAGGATTCCAGCTCCACAGCGGTACCACTGTATGACAGCGGCATGGCTGCTGCTTTCCTTCCTGCCCCCCTTCACTTCTCATCCTCTTTCATTCCCTCATCACCATCCCTCGCCCCACACCTATCCCACCTTCCGTGCACCCCTCCGTGCGTGCAGTGATGCGGATGAGCGCCTGGTTGCAGCGCTTGCTGGCCCTGCTCTCCCTGGGGACAGCTTCAGGTGCGTGCTGCTGCTGCTGCTGCTGACTGCTGCTGCTGCTGCTGCCGCCGCCGCCGCCGCCCCGCCTTCCAGTGGGTGTTGATTCCGCACGTGCCGCACGTGTTTTTGCCACTCCCTGTGCAGCGTTGCTCGGTCCGTTGCCCTTCCATGGTCTATGTCACATGGTTTCGTCTCTTGAGTGCTGTGCCGTAAGGAGGGTTTGTTTTAATGAGCTGGTCAGAGGTCCGTTGTGATTGCCCTGCTGCTGCCTGTGCTGTCATGCTGTCATGTTGTCTGGCATTCCCGCCCTCATCTCATCCACATGTGCCATGCCATGCCATGCCATACATGCTCTTCCAGGCGGCTAGTGGTGGCGGATGCACGGCCGCGCAAGAACGCCATAGCGAATGGAGCCATGGGGGGTGGCTATGAGTCATCTGCCAACTACCGCGGCACAGAGGTGCGTGCGTTGTGGCACAGAGGTGCGTGTGTCATGTACACAAACTTTCTGACCTCACAGCCATCAATCTTCACCCATTGTGCACTCCTCACCGCCTGCCACCTGTTGGCCTCTGAGGCATCCGAGGCACGCACCACAGCTCCCTGTTTTCCTTTTGAGGCTAGTCCATACTCCTTTGCTCCCAATGACTCTCACACTCACTCGTTCGCTCACCTGCTCTTGCTCCACCTCTTGTGCTCGTGATTGTGTGCCTGTACGGCTTGGTGTGCATGTTTCTATGCGCGTGCATGCGCATGACACTGCGTGGTGGCAGGTGGTGTATCTGGGCATCGACAACATCCATGCAGTGCGGGACAGCATGAACCGCCTGCGAGAGTACCTGGACACGCACGGCTCTGCCTGCTCTGATGGCTCCTCCTCGCTCCTCGTTAGTGCCCCGCACACCACCACCGACACTACCACGAGCACCAGCACCCCACACGTTTTCCCTCCCGCCCTTGCTCCCGCCCGGTCCCCTCCCCTACCGTTTGCGTTCTTGCTCTGTCTTCCTTCCCTTTCCGTGTAGCCACTTCTCTTGCCTTTCCTCGCTCGCCTCTGTCCTCCGTTTCATGCTGGGCCTTCAGTTCTGTTTCCCCCCCTTCCCTTCCTACACCCACGCTCCTTCCTGTGTCCATACCTGCATGCCTGTGTGTGTGCCCGTACCTGCAACTCCACCCCCACAGAGGAGTGGCACGGGAGGGTGGACGGGAGGGTCGGTGAGTGGGACGTCGCAGGTGGTGGGCGCGCTGGTGGACTCGTGCTGGCTGCAGCACTGTCACTCGCTGCTCTCCGGCGCCGTCTTCATCGCTGCACAGATCGCCCTGCAGGGCAACTCCGTGCTTGTGCACTGCAGGTGGGGAGCCGGCGAAAGCGGGGGGGGGGGGGGAGAGGAACGGACTGCTTGGAGAGGGGGAAAGAGGGGGAGTTGAATGCTTTGGGATAGGGAGGGAGGGTCATGATCTGTCTGACTGAATGGCGGCCCTCCATTGTGCTCGAATGGCGTCGGCGTCACTGTTCTAGCTCATCCCTGTCTGTCGCCCTTACCACAATCTCTCTTTACCTCGTCCCCCATGCACCCGATTGTGCAGTGATGGGTGGGATCGCACACCCTCTCTCATTGCCCTAGCAATGCTGTTGCTGGACCCCTACTACCGCACCTTCCACGGCTTCCAGGTACTGGACTCGTGTGACTGCACTTGGATTACCTGGCCTATTTCTCGCTTCCACCTCATTCGTCTCTTCACAGCTCTAACGTTATTCTCTCGCTTGATATCTCTCCCCTCTCTCCAGCCCCTTCCCTTTCTCCGTCCCCCTCCCCTCTTTCCCCGACCCCCACCCCACGCCTCTGTTCCCTGCATTCAATCATTCTTCCCATGTCTTCGTCCACGTCCCCTGCCCCATGCAGTCGCTAGTGGAGACGCAGTGGGCGGCGTTCGGCCATCCCTTTGCTGACCGCCTGGGCGTGCCAGCAGACCCCCCCACCGCCTCCTCCTCCTCCTCTCGCACGAACCCCGCTCTCTCCCTCGCCGCTGCTGCCGCTGCCGCATCAGCACGACCTCCCCAAGCGCCTGTTTCTGGGGGAGCAGTCTCGGGGTCTGCTGCTGCTGCGGGTGCAGGGTGTGGTGCTGCTGGGTGTAGTGCGGCTGGTCATAGTGTAAATAGCTCAACTGGTGCGACTTCCAGTGCTGCTGCTGCTGCTGCTGCCGGTGCAGCGGGGTACGGGGGTGCCTCCCTGTCATCGCTGTCAGCATCGGGGTTCCCTGTGGCGAGCAGCAGCGTGGCGGGATCGACCTTCCAGGCCAACAGCAGCACCAACCAGTCGCCTGTGTTCTTCCAGGTGGGCGGGCTGTGCTGTTGTGAAACAGGCACACCACTGGGCTGCTGCTTGCATGCTCCTGTCTGTTTCATGGTGCATGACATAGGAGATACTGTCACACTGTTGCCACTCTTGCTCGTTGTTTCCTCTCTTACTTGCTTGCCTGCTCGTCATCCTCTTGAGGATCCCATCTTCTCAGTTCCTCAAACTTGCTCCTCCCTCTCTCTGCTGCTGCTCCGTTTCTCCCACCTCCGTCACCTCCTTGTGGCAGTGGATTGATGCTGTGGCGCAGCTGCTGCGCCTCTTCCCACGCGCCTTTGAGTTCTCCACGGTATGTTCACTCAAAGCCGCCTCAAAACACAGAGTTTTTGTTGCATGCTGCATGCCCATCGCTTCCCCCTTTTCCCCCCGCCCCCCGTTCCTTTCTTTCCTGTTGCTTCCTCTCTTCACACCATTCACATAACCCCCCCCACCCCTCTCTACCCTCCCCTTCCCTCTCCCTAACTCCCCCCCTTCCTCCCCCTCCTTGGAACCACGAGCAGGCGTTCCTAGTGGACCTGCTAGACAGTGTGCTGTCGTGCCGCTTTGCCAACTTTCTCTGCAACAGCGACAAGGAGCGCATGGCCGCATGCACCTACCACTCCTCCTCCACCCGCACCCATGCCGCCCACTCGCCCGCATCCCTCCCGCCCTGGTGTGTGTGGGAGCACCTCAGACGCACGAGGGAGCCCTCCTGTCCCTCCTCCCCCTCCCCCTCCTCTGCTGCTGCTGCTGCTGCAGGGGATGTGGGGAGTGGTGGTAGTGGGGGCGATGGAAGGGGATGGCAGGTGGACGCATCTGTTGAAGCATCTGCTGGTCTCTGTTGCCCTCTGAGCCACCCGCATGTCAACCCCCTCTACTCCCCCTCTTCCATCTTCGCCACCGCTGCTCCCCCTGCTACTGCTCCTGTTCCTGCGCCTGCTACGGCTACCACATCCGCAAGCACCACTAGCACAAGAAGTGGCACTAACAGCTGCCCCCTGGCACTTATTCGCCCTGTGTCCTGCCCTCCTGCTCCAATACGCCATATCTCTCTCTTCCCCCCATCCCCTCCGTCCCCCGCCATTCTCCTCCCCCCTGCTGCCTCTCTTGCCCCCGTGCTCCTGCCTGAGCTCTACCTTCGCTGGTGCTGCCCGGCTGCTGTTCCGCCCCTCCGCTCCCTCCTCTCTTCCTCCCCTCCTCTTCCACCTTCAACTGCTGCGGCTGCTGCTGGTAGTGGTGGTGGCATTGGAAGCATGGAGTGTGTAGGAGGGTTCGAGCCTATGGCGTCTTCTCTTCTGCTGGATGGGAGGGGAGGAGGAGGGGAAGGAGGGGGGGGAGCAGCAGCGGCGGCGGCAGCAACGGTGTCTTTGCTGTCCTCCAGTTGCCATGCTGCTGTGCTGCACTCAAGTGGGAGTCCGCAGCGGCAGCACAGTCACCAGCCACACCGCAAGCGCCAGCACCAGCACCAGCATCACCAGCAGCAGCAGCAGCAGCAGCAGCAGCAGCAGCAGCAGCAGCAGCAGCAGCAGCAGCAGCAGCAGCAGCAGCAGCAGCATGAGCACGTCAAGGGGTGGGTGGCTCGGGGCGAGCCGGTGCATTGGGACTCTGTAGCCGCTGAAATCCGGCGCCTCTACCACTCGCACCGACTCATTGAAGCGGTAGGGATTTCCCTGGGCCTATCACGCTTCTGTGATTCTTGTTTGCTTGCTCGCTGCTTCTGCTCTCGCTTGCAGTCCCCCAAGCACGCCCCCTGCCACATTCTCATCAACACGCCTGCTCGCCATGCCTTGCCCTTCCTCTGGCTATTTCGTGCAGGAATGTGCATCACTACAGGGTGCAGTGGAGGAATCCTGGCAAGGCATGCAGCAGCTGCAGCAGGCTCTGCAGGAGAGTGAGAGCAGGCGAGCAGAGGCCGAGAGGCGCAGGGACGAAGCAGAGAGAGAAAATGCGGACCTTCGCAGGAGCCTTGCCAATCTGCAGCAGTCCCAGGAGGTCATGTTAGCAGCAGTGTGCCAGGAAGCAGCGTCGGCTGCTGCTGCTGCCGCCTTCTCTGCTGCTGGTGGGGAGGGTTCTGCTGCTTCCGCGTCTGCTGCTGCTGCTGTCCGGTCGCGCATGGCTTCGTTCTCGCGTTTCCCATCGTTTGCTTCTGCAGCAGCAGCGGCAACGGCAGCAGCAGCGGCAGCAGCAGCTGCTGCAGGTGGGTTGCGCTACGCCTTGCCAACAGGTGCTCGGAGATCACAGAGCATTTCCTCTGATGCCAGGTCTGGTGCTACTGGTGGTGCTGCTGCTGCTTCTGCTGATTCTATCGAAGCCAGTAGTCTCTCCAGCCACAATCATGCAGTGGGATTGGGAGAGGCACTTCGCCTTGAAACAGGCAGCAGTGGTGGTGCCACATCCCCTGCACCCACCACTCCGCCCTTCCTCCCCAACCACGCTGCTTCATGGAGCCCCTGCTTTGGATCAAAAGGGGGAGTTCCCACCTGCCCCAGTTGTACCCGCCCTCTCATGGTTGTAGCACCAGGAGAGAACGAGGTAGATGAGGGGGGAATGGGCCAGGAAGGTGGGGGGCGAAGAGGCGGTTTGAGGGGAGAAGGGGTGGAAGGGAGCAGTGCAAGAGCGCGGGAGGACGGGGAGTGGGAGGAGGCGATAGAGGGGTTGCATTACGAGTGCCTGTGGTGTGGCCTGAGTGCCTCTGGCTGCCGCAAGGCGTCTGGAAGCTGGACGGCGGCTGCAGAACTCGATAGCGGGGCGGTGGGAGGGAGCTGCAGGGGGAAGGATTTTGAGCAGCTGGTGCAGCAGCAAAGGCAGCAGGGGCAGCAACCACAGCAGCTCAACAAGGGGCTGGCGTGGTCGGCTGGAGGTGCACATACTACAAGTGGTGAAGCAGCCCAGGGTAAGCTCTATGCTGGTGGTAATGGCGGTAACACCAGCAGTGCCACTACGACAGGCAGTGTGAGCAATGGCCACGGTGTGGTATGCTCCATGCCGCTGCCTGCATTTGTCCGAGCGGATTTTGATGCGCTGAGATGTGGGCCCATCCCCGACTACGTGGGCTCCCTCTCTTCGTCCTCGTCCCACTCTGCGGGTGCTGCTGCTATGTGAAATATCTGAAGCCTGAGCAACTCAAGCCAATGGCTCAAGCCATTGGAGGACTGCAGCTGCCAGCTTCAGGATTTTCCATGTTGGAGGTTGGAACCGATTGGACTAGAGCAGGTGCTTGCTAGTGCAAGCAATACACACGATGTGAAGCAGTACTGTTTTCCGTAGGAGCTCTCCTTCCATGTGCAATTATTTCATGCGGCAGTTGTGATTGATTTCATTGTGTTCTAGTTTTGCATAATGGGAAAGCTTTAGTTTTTGGTTAGGTTGTCTCAAACCAAAGTGTACGCTATAAGCCTTTTCTTCGACCCTTCAAACGGATCCGCTCTCTAGCAGGGTAAATCCCGATCTGTGAATCCTCGAGATTTGCTTGTGAAAGAGATTCTCACGGGCCCAGCCCGCACCGCGGTGCGAACAAGAGGAGCCAGGGGTCGGATTAGACCGTGAATCTGACTGCCTCTCTTGGCTGCCACTCTCTACGCTTCGCCTGATATCCCTGTCGTGAAACCACTAGTGCCAGCATGGAGAGCCGCACTACGATCGACAGCCTTAGTAACGAGCTTCTGAAAAGGATTTTGTGGCACTCACTGCCCGCCTCTCGGGAGGCCTGCTTGGACCGCCTTAGGGACTCGCTGGATCCAGATCTGAAAGCCGTCAACAAATGGCGATCAGCAGTGCGTTACAGCAACGAGTTCGTGACGCCTATCGCCACCCCGCCTCCGTCCGCAGGCGCCGCTTTGTGTCTTTTGTACGCGTCGGTCTGCCGTCGCTGGCGGGCCCTCGCGAAGGACCGCGTGACCACGCTTCTGGTCGAAGAGAACCTCGCCGTGTGCAAGGAAGACCTCGCAGCTGCCTGTTCCTGTTTTCGGAACCTAACGCACTTGCATCTGAGCGACGGCAGCGTGGGTACGCTGGGCGATGGCTTCCTCTCGCACCTCGCCTCTAAATGCTCTCAGCTGACGGCTCTGCATGTGGGATGGCGGTTCCGGGGCAGGGACAATGGTGTCGCCATGCAAGAGCACTTAATAACGCCCAACGGTTTGGACGAGCTCTTCCAGAAGTGCACGGGACTTCAGCAGCTCTCCATCTTCCGTACCCTCAAGGATGGAGATTTACGCGCTTCATTCTTCCAGCTGACGCAGCTGCACACGCTCCTCCTCACGGATGCTGCTGCTTTGGAGAACCCGGATTCCAGAAACCTGGCTTGCCTAACCACCCTGTACATCGGCTTTCCATGGCGGCCTCAGCACCTTGCCGCCCTCGCGCACCTCCCAAGGCTCGCGCGCCTTCTCTTCTGCACTGAGTCCCAGAACAGCCAGCCTTTGTCCTCTCCTAGCGTGGTGCTGCCGCCCTCCCTGCAGTGGCTGGACTTCCTAAAACCCTCTCCGCAGCTCGACTCCATCCTTCCCCCAGGACCCCCCTGCACGCGCCTGCAGGAGCTGCTCCTCTTCAGCTGCAAACGGCTCCACCGCCTTCCGAGCCGCCTGGGAGAGCTGCTGCCATGCCTGCGCAAGCTCACCCTTAGCAGCTGCGACTCCTTGTCGGAGCTACCTGGCGACTTCCACTCGCTCACCCGCCTCGAAAGTCTCATAATCTCGGCACGTAACATTTCCACCCTGCCTCCCCGTTTTGGTCGGCTGCCGGCGCTCAGGGTTCTGTCACTGGAGACCCACTCTCTCACAGCCCTCCCAGACTCCTTCTGCCTCCTCTCCTCTCTGCGGTTGCTCGACCTGATCTGCTGCATCAATATCTCTCAGCTGCCAGCGGATTTCTCCCGCCTCGCTGCTCTCGAGGCGCTTGACATGAGCCTTGCACACCACTTGGTGCTTCCAGAGAGTTTTGGAGAGCTCTCTGGTCTTCAGTATTTACGCTTGTCCGACTATCACCAAGAGTCCCTCCCACACTCGTTCACCCGCCTGTCGTCGCTGACCGATCTTGAGTTCTGTGAATGCATGTTCAGGGATCTTCCTGATGGCGTGCAAGCGCTGCAGAGCTTGCGGGAAGTGCGATTCTTTAACTGCCCTTACCTCGAGGTGCTGCCGGGGTCTCTTGCGGGATTCACCCGCCTTGAATCGCTTTTGTATCGAGCTGATTCTGGAGAGGTGGATATGCCTTTTGAGCTGTCGTTAGTGCCACAGCAGTGGGATAGTCTCGAGAAGCTCAAGGAGCTGGAGCTGTCGGGATGTAGGCTCTTCGCTCAGCTCTCTGAAATGCACCTGCCATCATCACTGGAGGTTCTAAGTCTGGGAGACGGCCATTATGCAACTGCGCTTCCTGACCTCTCCCTGCTGCCGAATCTGACGCATCTGACATTGGAACTGCCTGAGCAGGAACGTCGGGGGGCGGTTAGCGGTTTGACTCGGCTGGAGTATTTATGCCTGCTAATGGACAGTGACGTTGTAGAGGTCCCATTTCCCTTGGGATTCCCACTCCTGAAGAAGCTGACGATCTTTGGAAACGGGCTGAGGCGGCTTCCAGAAGACATAGGCGCAACGCTGCCGCAACTGCAGCACCTGAAGGTTCAGTCCTCTTCGCTGGAGGAGCTGCCTGAAAGCATTGCTGAAATGCAGAATCTTGTGTCGCTGAGGGTTGATGCATCACAGTCTAAAAATTTGGCTGCTGTGCCTGCTGGCATCAGCTCCTTGCCCCGCCTGCGCATGCTGCGCGTGGCTGGAAGCGGGCGAGTGCTGCACGAACAGTTTTGAGCTGCCGTGCATTGGAATCTAGCTGGTAGATTGATTCCAAAAAATCCTCTTAACTTTCCTGAGCATGCTAACTCTTTCTGTCCTTGTGTACATGGTGTCAACATATATATTTGTATATGTTTATAGGCTAGCGAGGAGCATACCATTGAGAGTACAACACTGAGAGCAAAACTACCCTGTATGCCCTATTCTAGTAAATTCGTTACCTTGAGATGGTATCAGAGCTAGGCTAGGTCCTCCTCGCCCACCCGCGCTTCCGCTTTAGCCCTTGTCCTAGCCCTTGTCTTAGCTCTAGTCCTAGCCCTAGTCCTAGCCTGCAGGCCCCGCTCGTCGCCCTACGCTCACTGGCCAGCGCTCGTAGGCCCGCCCTCGTCGCCCCGCGCTCGCTGGCCCGCCCTCGTCACCTCGCGCTGCTGGCCCAGCTCATCGCCCCGCGCTCGTAGGCCCGCCCTCGTCGCCTCGCGCTCGCTGGCCCGTCCTCGTAGCCTTGCGCTCGCTGACCCGCCCTTGTCGCCCCGCGCTCGCTGGCCCGTGCTCGCTGGCCCACGCTCGCCGGCCCTGCGCTCGCTAGACAACCTCCGCTGGCCCCTTGCTCGCTGGCCCACGCCTGCTGGCCCCGTGCTCGCTGACGTGCGCTCGCCGGCTCCGCGCTCGCTGGCCCCGTACGGACCGGCCCCCTAGCTCGCTGGGCCCTCGTTAGCCGGCCTGAGCTCCCATGCCTCGAGCTCCCTGGCCCCTTTCTAGAAGGCCCCTTACTAGCCGGTCCCCTTCCTTGCTGGTCTCCCTTGCGCTGACCCCGGTCCCGCCGTGCCGCCGAGCCGCCGTGACGTCGTGCCGCCTTGCCGCCGTGACATCGTGCCGTTACCTTGGCCTGCAGATCTCCAGGGACAAAGCAACGCACGCCATCACTCTCTCACAGTCACACTTGGTGCGCCAGGTCCTTCAGAGGTTCGGTCTTCAGTTCTCTTCCGCACAACCCACACCTCTGCCAGTAGATCAGAGGCTATCGACTCCAGTCCCTAATGAGTCGGTAGACCCTAATGGTTCATACGCTGAGTAGTTGGGTTGCCTTATGTACCTGATGACTTGCACTCGTCCAGATCTCGCATACCCTCTCACCATCCTGGCTCGCTTTGTGGCGACAGGCTGACACCGACCACAACACTGGTCGGCCGCTAAGAGGGTTTTGCGTTATCTAGCAAGTACATCGGGCATGGGGCTAGTGCTAGGAGGACGCAGGCCAGCGGTCCTTACAGGACACACAGACGCTTCGTGGGCGGACGACGCAGAGACACTCAGGTCCTCCCAGGGCTACTGCTTTAGCCTTGGTGCAAGCCCACCCGCTCGTCGTCTGTTGCACAGTCTAGTTGTGAGGCTGAGATCTATGATGGTGCCATGGCGGCACAGGACCTTTGCTCGCTGACCTGAGTGAGCGGCCTAGCTCACTCTGAGCTTCGTGTCTCTTGCCAGGCACTGCCCCTTGTCTAGCCTAGGGCGTGTGTCAACATACATATTTGTATATGCTTTTAGGCTAGCTAGGAGCATACCATAGAGAGTACAACGCTTAGAGCGAAACTACCCTGTATGCCCTATTCTAGTAAATTCGTTACCTTGAGACACATGTATGAAAAAGACCTCCTGCATTGTGCTTCCTGGCTGGAGCCCTTGCTTTGGATAAAAAGGAATAGTTCCCACCTGGGTTCCTGCTAAGTTTCTGGGCTGTCTGAGAATCAGACGAGGTTGCAAATTTTCGCCTGACCATCAGACGAGCTACTTGGGCTGGTCTGGATTTTCAAACGAATTGTTGAGCATCATCAGAGTTTCCAGACGAGAAAAAAAAAAAAAAAAAAAAAAAAAAAAAAAAAAAAAAAACATGACTATGAACTACAGTACTGGGGTGATGACGCGGCACACGGTAAATTCCGCGGGCGGCAGGTTTGATGCCCAATAAGTCGATGACACACATGGCCGAGTGGCCACATGGGCACGTGTACAATCTCAGAGTAGAAAAGTGACTAGAATGATGAGGTACAAGGGAATATAACATAGGGTGTTGTACTCGATAAAAGTATGTACCTATCTAGCCTATAACATATACAAAAATATGTTGACAAACCCCCTAGGTTAGACGAGGGGAAGTGACTAGTATGAGACACACAGCTCAAGGTGGCACTACTAGTCCAACCACTGAGGCAGGGAAGGGTCTGAAGACTAGTCCGCATGAGTACAAACTAACCAAGAGTAACCCAGGGCGGTACCACTAGCCCAGCCTCTGGGACAAGGGCCACATGGCCAGTCAAGGTAATATAAAAGTAGTACACAATCAGGGTCCTAGAGTGAGAAGCTACAGGAACTAGAACAAGCTGCACACAGTGCCGCTGATGATCTTTAGGCGCAAGCGCATTCGTAAAGATATCAACTGTGTTGGCACCGGAGGCCTGTTCCGCCATGGCACCAGCGTCGATCTCAGCCTCACAGCTAGATTGGGCAACAGACGACGAGCGGGTGGACCTCCACGAGACCGCGCCTGCACCAAGGCTAACGCAGTAGCCCTGAGAGGACCTGGGCGTCTCAGCGTCGACGGCCACGAAGCGTTTGTGTGTCCTGTCAGGACCACTGACCTGCATCCTCCTAGCAATAGCCCCATGCCCGATGTACTTGCTAAATAATGCAAAACCCTCTTAGTTGCCGACCAGTGCTGTGGTCGGTGTCCGCCGGTCGCCACGAAACGAGCCAAGATGGTGAGAGGGTATGCGAGATCTGGACGAGTGCAAGTCATCAGGTACATGAGGCAACCCACCAGCTCTGCGTAAGGACGACTAGGCTCTACAGACTCCTCTGGGACTGGAGCCGAGAGTTTGTGATCTATTGGCAAAGGTGTGGGTTGTGCGGAGGAGAATTGAAGACCGAACCTCTGAGGACCTGGCGCACCAAGTGTGTCTGTGTGAGGGTGATGGTGCGCGCTGCTATGTCCCTGGAGATCTGCAAGCCAAGGTCGAGGCGCATTTCTCCCAGGTCAGTGCAGGTGTGTCTCCTCAGCAGCTCAGTCTTCACCAAGGCCAGTGCGTCTCTGTCTGCTGTAGCAAAGACTAGGTCGTCTACGTAGACAAGGATGTAGAACAGGGTCTGGCCAGCACGAACGAAGAGCAAAGTGTCTGCAGACGACGGGACAAACTGCAGTTCAGCCAACGTAGCATGCAGCGTGTGGTGCCACTCGCGTGACGCCTGCCGCAGGCCGTAAACCGGGCGTCGGAGGAGCCACTGGGTTCCCGGGGAGAAGGTGCCGATGAAGCCTAGTGGGCGACGCAGGTAGACCTTGTTGTGCAGACTGCACTGAAGAAACGTTGTCGAGAAGTCGAGGGAGAGCAGCTCGTAGTCGCGATGTGCTGCTACGTGTAGCAGCGCCCCAAGAGTAGTCATCTTCGTGGTTGAGGCGAAGGTCTGAAAGAAGTCAACACCCTCGTGCTGACTGAAGCCTCGAGCAACGTAGCACGCCTTCAACACCAGCGGCTCTCCAGGGGGCCGCTTCACCATTGACTACGTTCACCCCGGGCGGGGGAACTGCGACGTAGGTGCTAGTGGATCTTCAAGATGCCATCTCTGCGTATATGGCAGCTATCCAATGAGAGGCCCAGGGTCCCGAGATGGCCTCATCGTAGGTGCGAGGGGTCGGGATGGGTCACCCTCAGGGACTAGCAGCATGGAGCAGAGATGAGGCGCGGCCTCGGACAGGAAAGCGAGCTCGTAATGCCGCTCCTCCAGGACGTCATTGCCAAGGGCAGAAACACCCCCAACGGACGGAGGACGGGCAGGGTCAGAGACCAGAGCGGTGGCGTAGTCAAGGCGGCGAGTAGAGGCGAAGTATGCGGCGGCAGCGACAAGCGCGGAAGGACTCGAGACAGGAACAGACGGGTCGGTAACGAGAGGCAAGGACCCGAGAAACACGAGGACGAGCAACACGAATGTAGTCAGACAGAGGAGGCGGAGCGACGACAAGCGACGACGGAGGAGGCGACGGGAGGAGGGGAGGACGAGACGCGTGGGAACGGAGCAACATAGGGTGGGAGCGCGGAACAGGGGAGACAGGACGTGCACGGGAGGGGCGACGAGACCAGACGTGAGACGGAAGCGTCGGGTCAGGATACCGAAGAGGAGACATAGGAGGAGAATGAGGGGGGAAACGAGCTGGAGACGAGCCCGGCGGAGGAAAGACAGGGCCGTAGACAGGCAGGGGAGGCGGCGACGGGGAAGGCGCAGGTAGGTGGTCAGGGGAGGGAGGACCGAGTAGGCGAAGGGCTGACACCGGCTACGACTGCGGCTGCTGCTGCTGCTGCTCCACGCCGACACCGGAACCTCCAGCTGCACCACGGCTGCCTCCGGGAACCTCCACTCTAGCACTCCCAGAACGAGAACCCTCTCCAGCACCGATGCCACCCCTGAGACCGTCGGGACGAGCCACGACAGCAACCCGCGGACTAGTACCACTAGAAACAACACCCCCAGAACAAGGACCCGCTCCAGCACTGGCACCACCCTAAGAGCCCATGGACGGCTGCTGCTACTGCGGCGACGGCGACGGCTGCGGCTGTTGTGGTGATGGCAAAGACGGTGGAGGAGGAGACATTGGGGCAGAAACAGGCAGCCAGCACTGCGCTGCGGGGCCACCAGAGTCAGTCGCCTCCTCGACCGGGACAACCGAGGGGAGGGGAGTGACGTGAGACACACCAGACGGGGCAGGACGGGGAGTAAGAGGAGCATGGGCTACCAGGGGAGTGGGAACCAGAAACAGTGGCGGGGAGACTGGGAGACCTCGGCGGGGAAAGCGACGGTAAAAGGCGACTGACTATTCGAAAGTGACGTCACGCGAGTGAAGGAAACGGTGAGACGGTGAGTGGTAAAAGTGCCTGTCAGACGAGTCAAGGGGGAAACCATGGAAGACACAGGGGATAGTGCGGGCAGTGAGCTTGTCCGTGCGAGAGGTACGAACGTGAGCGAGGCATCCCCAGATGTGGAACGCAGATGCATCACCAGGAGAACCAGTCCAGAGGAGGGTCAGTGAAACCTGCAGCTGCGGAGAGAGGGGCCACAGAATGGCTACCTTCAGCTGGTGAGCGGCGTAGTGAACAGCGAACGGCTACAGAAGATATGGTGCATCTGTATGGATCATGGAGGTATGAGCCACCTCTATGACCAAGCCGATGCATCGCTCAGCGATCCCATTCTGCTGTGGGGAGTCCGACAGGGTGTAAGATTGGGTGATGCCCTCCGCACGACACAACTGGCTAAGCCGACCAAGGGGGAAATCGCCGCCACGGTCGGTGTGAAGACGCAATACAGGGAGGCCGCGGTGGTCTCGCGCAACTACGACCTACGGGATAAGATTGTCAGGCACGTCGGCCTTGCGCTCCAGGGAAAACACCGTGGTGTAGCGCTTGTAGTCGTCGACAAGCACTAGAAAGTAGCGCTCTCGCTGTGGCCTAGGGACGGGGGCTGGGCCCTAGACGTCCAGGTGCCGGGTCTGTTGTGGCGCAGTGGTAGGGGGAAGCGAGGAGGATTGAGGAGCACGGTGCAGCCAGCCCTCGACGCAGGGCGTGCCTCGGCTGGGCCCTGCGTCGAGGGCTGGCTGCACCATGCTCCTCAATCCTGTATGGAGCAGTGCTCCCTTCCTACCCTACCCTCCGGCGGTGCAGGCGAAGGAGGGAGGGTAGGGAGCGACGCAGGGAGACGTAAGACAAGACCGTGCTGGGACATGGGACACAGACGTGAGAGTGTAGGGTGACCTAGGCGGTGGTGCCACAGAAGCGACGGGTGAGTGAGCGACCGACACGAGCAAGCCGCAGCGACCTGGGTAGATGCAGGCACTTGGGGGGACGCTCTCACCGAAAGGGACACGGTGTCAAGCGTAAACAGGCCAGACACCGGGCAAGCGAGCGTGGGCCAGCAAGCACGGGGCTAGCGAGCACGGGGCGACTAGCGGGGGCCGACGAGCGCGGGCCAGCGAGCGGGGGCCTAGGAGCGCGGGTCGACGAGCGGGGGCCTACGAGCGTGGGGCGACGAGCGGGGTCTACGAGCTCGGGGCGACGAGCACGGGCCGACGAGCCTGGGCCAGCGAGCGTGGGCCAGCGAGCACGAGGCGACGAGCACGGGCCAACGAGCGCGGGGCGACAAGCAGGGCCTACGAGCGCGGGGCGACGAGCCGGGCCTACAGGCTAGGGCTAAAGCTAGGAATAGTTCTAAGACTAGGGCTAGGTCTAGGGCTAAGGCGGAAGCGCGGGTGGGCGACGAGGACCTAGCCTAGCGTGATACCAACTAAAAGGTAGTGAAGTAGATTAGAATGGGTAGTACAGGGTATTTTTGTGCTAGGTGTTGTACTCTCTATGGCATGCACCTATCTAGCCCATAACAATATATGCATATATGAATATATTGACGCAACCCGCAGAAAGCGGCGAAGTGCAGTGTGAATTTCGTTAAACTAGAAACCCACGGCGAAAGTTCGCAACCCCTGCGACAGCACACAATATTTCAGGCAAATTATGAGGTGCTGGTTTGGGCGAAACTGCATTTGCAAGTGACACACATGCACATGGCATCGCTCGCGACTTTCGCGATGCTGGGCACGTGTGCCTAAGTCTGACGCGGGAATTGAATGTCTTAGCAACGGTTCGGACACAATGACGAGTCTGAGACAGGGTTAGTCTAACGCGAGGACGTAGGAATCTGCTCTGAGTCCTTCGCCAAAATCGCGCAGGTACATTGTACGCAGTGAAGTTCGATCCAAAACAACGATCTGATACTACAAAAATGTAGGCGTCACTGGTCAGGCTTAAAAAATATTTGGCCTGAAAAAACATGCCGCGCCCAAAACCCTGAGCAACAGGATTCTCACATGGGCGACCCTGAGCAATCAGCCTACTAAAAACCAATATGAGGCCATGCTTCCAGCTGAAATTGTGAGTCCGATGAGAGGCAAGTCTGGGCCCCATAGGAGCACGCTCTCAGGCGGAAATATACGCGCTTTCTGTAAATTCAGACGACTGCCTACACCAAGTCTGAGAATTCAGACGGATTTATACTGTACGTGGGCTCCCTCTCTTCGTCCTCATCCCACTCTGTGGGTGCTGCTGCTATGTGAAATATCTGAAGCTTGAGCAACTCAAGCCCATGGCACAAGCCACTGGAGGACTGCTGCTGCCAGCTTCAGGATTTTCCATGTTGGAGGTTGGAACAAATTGGACTAGAGCCGGTGCTTGCTGGTGCAAGCAATGCACACGATGTGAAGCAGTACTGTTTTCCGTAGGAGCTCTCCTTCCATGTGCAATCATTTCATGCGGCAGGTGTGATTGATTTCATTGTGGTCAAGTTGTGTATAATGAGAAAGCACTAGTGTTTGGTTGCCTCAAACCTAACAATTCAGTACGTTGTAGTGGCAGAAACAATTGTCCGTATGTTTTGCATTATTTGGGTTTTTTTTTTTTTTTTTTTTTTTTTTAAATCTTTAAGACCACTCTATATTAAGCCTTAATATTTAATAGTGGTACAATTTGGGAGTGACACATAGTGCATGTGTTAACAACACACACATCCAGAATAGTACATTGGATCTAACTGATATCCCAGAAGATAGACAAAGGGTACATCTGGACAAATAGTTCCAAGCAGAGAGAGCAAATTACAAAACTGCGTTTCTGGTACATAGCCCACCAACCTTGGGCCTTGATCAGCACTTGCACCCTCCTAGGCATGTTACCTACGAGGTTCGTACAAACCTCGGCAGGGGACTTCTTACACTCTTCCTGGACCCACCATTTCGCATAAGGGGGTGGGCACCAGGAAAATCGCGAAAAAGTTGGGCGTAGGCAAGAGTATTGTGGACGATTTTGGATTGAATTGTATCTCTAAGACTAGTCATGCTGAGGTGTGGCAAAAAATGCAATTAGCCGGTCGGTCCCATCTTAGCACTGATCGTTTTTTTCGTACCATTGTAGGGAAAATTGACGAATAGAGCGGCCAAATCTAACGTAGACACCGCGAAACTGAGGGCAACGTTGCACGGATGACTGTGCACCCTTGCACCATTAAATACACACTAGGGTCCGCGGGTCTAGTCACGGTGCAGCAGTCGTAGAAGCCATGACTACTCACGAAATATACCAGGTTTCGGCTGCAATTCCTGGAGTCGCATGCTGGGTGGACAATTAGTGTTCGAAAGAATGTAATCTGGTTACATGAGACCAACATCAACTGCTTCAGCTCCGAAGGCCATGCGTTTGCCTGGATTTGTGAAGGCACAACCCTGCAGCACCACCAAATCAAACAGATGGTAAACCATGGGGGATAAGGATCGGTAATAGTGTGGGGTCTCAAAACTGAATGAATGATTAGAGAGAGAGAGTACAGGGAATATATCTAAGTGTTGTACCCTCTAAGAGATGACCCTATACAGTCTATGCAAAGTATACGAGATACACATGTTTGACACACCCCCTAGACTGCATAGGGGCAGGTCCTGAACAAGCAGCTCAGGGCGGCACTACTAGTCCAGCCACTGAGACAAGGGTCTAAAGACCAGTCAGAAGGAGTACAGGCAAGGCAAGAACAAGACCAGGGCGGCACTACTAGTCCAACCACTGGTAGAGGACACAAGTCCAGTCTGAGACATACATATCGATATATAGGACAGTACAAGGTCAAGGTCCTAGCAAGTGAGAGGCTACAGGAACTAGACCGAGCTGTACACAGTGCCGCCGATGATCTTTAGGCGCAAGCGCTTTCGTAAAGATATCCGCTGTGTTGGCACCTGAGGCCAGGTGTACTACGCGAGCCTGGCGGCGCTGCTGTAGCTCGCGCAGGAGGAAGTACCGTAGCTGAATATGCTTCGCTCTGCCCTCGAGTCGAGGCTCCTGACACAGGAGGATCATGGCCCTGTTGTCAACGTATAGGACTGGGGCAGAGCTAGGCCGCTCACCTAAGTCAGTGAGCAAGAAAGTCAGCCAGCGGAGCTCCTGTGCCGCCATGGCACCAGCGTAGATCTCAGCCTCACAGCTGGACTGGGCAACAGACGAGGAGCGGGTAGCTCTCCACGAGACAGCACCTGAACCAAGGCTGAAGCAGTAGCCCTGCGAAGACCTGAGTGTCTCTTCGTCGTCCGCCCACGAAGCGTCGGTGTGTCCAGTAAGGACCACTGGCCTGCGTCCTCCTAGCACTAACCCATGCCCAATGTACTCGCAAGATAACGCAAAACCCTCTTAGCGGTAGACCAGTGCTGCGGTCGGTGTCTGCCAGTGGCCACAAAGCGAGCCAGGATGCTGAGAGGGTATGCGAGATCAGGGCGAGTGCAAGTCATCAGGTACATGAGGCAACCCACCAGCTCTGCGTAAGGACCACTGGGCTCTACTGACTCCTCAGGAACTGGAGCGGAGAGTCTGTGGGCTAGAGGCAGAGGGGTGGGCTGTGCAGAGGAGAACTGAAGGCCGAACCTCTGAAGGACCTGGCGCACCAAGTGTCACTGAGTCAAGCTGATGGTGCGCGCTGCTCTGTCCCTGGAGATCTGCAGGCCAAGGTAACGGCACAGTTCTCCAAGGTCAGTGCACGTGTGTCTCTTCAGCAGCTCTGCCTTCACGGAGGCCAGTGCGTCTTGAACATATCGCGCCTTGAACACAGGCGGCTCTCCAGGAGGGCGCTTCACCTTGAAGAGCCAGCGGCCATCGACTACGTTCACCCCAGGTGGGGGAACAGCGTCGACGAAGGTGTCGGTGGATCTCCAAGATGCCATCTCCTGCTCCATGGCAGCTATCCACTGGGAGGCCCAGGGTCCCGAGGTCGCCTCAGCGTAAGTGCGAGGGGTCGGGATGTCGAAAGCGTCTGGGTCACCCTCAGAGACTAGCAGCATGGAACAGAGATGGGGAGCAGCCTCGGACAGGAAAGCAAGCTCGAACTGGTGGTCCTCCAGGACGTCACTGCCCAGGGAAGGAGCACCCCTGACAGACGGAGGACAGGCAGGGTCAGAGACCAGAGCGGTGGCGTAGTCAAGGCGGCGGGTAGAGGCAAAGTCAGCGACCGCAGCGAAAGGCACGAGACTGGAACAGACAGGTCGGTAACGAGAGAGGCAAGGACCCGAGGAACGAGAGGACGGGCGGCACGAAAGTAGTCAGACAGAGGGGGGGGAGCAACGACAAGGGAGGACGGAGGAGGGGACGGGAGAAGGGGAGGACGAGACGTGTGGCAACGAAGTAATATAGGGTGAGAGCGAGTGACAGGGGAGACAGGACGAGCACGGGAGGGACGACGAGACCAGACGTGAGCCGGAGGAGTCCGGTCAGGAGACAGAGGAGGGGACACAAGGGGAGAGCGAGGGGGAAGACGAGCCGGGGACGAGTCCGGCGGAGGGAATACAGGGCCGTAAACGGAAAGAGGAGGAGACGGGAGGAGAGGAACAGATACAGGGTCAGGGGACGGAAGGCCGAGCAGGCGAAGGGCAGACACCGGCGGGGACTGCGGCCGCGGCGGCACAACGCTGACACCGGGACCGCAAGCTGCTCCTCGGGTACCACCGGAAGACTCCACTCCAGCACCCCCAGAAGGAACACTCCCAGGGCCCGACACCCCTCGGGCACCGGCACCACCCCCAGGGCCACCGGGGCTAGGACCCACTCCAACGCCAGCACCCCCAGAGGCAACGAGCTGCTGCTGCGACGGCGGCGGCAGCTGCGGGGACGACGGCGGTGACAGCAGAGGCGACGGCGGCTGCAGAGGCGGTGGAGGAGGGGACGCCTGGGGAGGGGCAGACGGTGAGGACGGGACCACCAAAGTCAGAAGACCCCTCAACCGGGACAACCGACGGGAGAGGAGTGACATGGGACACACCAGAGGGGGCAGGACGGGGAGGGGGAGGGGGGGGCGCAGGGACCACCGGGGAAGGAGTGACCAGGAACAGGGGGGGGGTAACCGGGGGACCGCGGTGGGGGAAGCGACGGTAACCCACTAGCTTTGCGTACGGACCACTAGGCTCTACTGACCTCTTAGGGACTGGAGCTAAGAGCATGTGATCTACTGGCAAAGGTGTGGGCTATGCAGAGGAGAACTGAAGACCTAACATCTGAATGACCTAGCGCAACAAGTGTGATTGTGTGAGAGTGATGGTGCACACTGTTCTGTCCCTGGAGATCTGCAGGCCAAGGTAGCACCGCAGCTCTCCTCGGTCAGTGCAGGTGGGTCTCCTCAGCAGCTCGGCCTTCACAGAGGCTAGTGCGTCCCTGTCTACGGTAGCAAAGACCAGGTTGTCTAAGTAGACAAGGATGTAGTACAGGGTCTGGCCTGAACAAATGAAGAGTGAAGGGTCTGCAAAGGACGGGAATGACTACAGGTCAGCTAACATAGAATGCAGTTTGTCTTGCCACTCGCAGAGCACCTGCCATAGGCCGTAGACTGGGCGCCGGAGGAGCCAATGGGTCCCCGAGGCGAAGGTGCCGGTGAAGCCTGCTGGGCGATGCAGGTAGATCTGCTCGTGCAGACTGCCCTGAAGAAACGTTGTCGAGAAGTCGAGAGAGTGCAGCTTGTAGTCACGTTGTCTGCTACATGTAGCAGCGCCCGAAGAGTAGTCATCTTTGGGGTCGGGGCGAAGTTCTGAAAGAAGTCAACCCCCTCGTGCTGACTGAAGCCTCTAGCAACATAGCGCGCCTTGAACACCGGCGACTCTCGAGGAGGGCGCTTCACCTTGAAGAGCCACCAGCCATCGACTGCGTTCACCCTAGGAGGGGGAACTGCGTCGACGTAGGTGCCGGTGGATCTCCAACATGCCATCTCCGCGTCCATGGTAGCTATCCACGGAGAGTCCCAGGGTCTTGAGGTGGCCTCAGTGTAAGTGCGAGGGGTCAGGATGTCAAAGGCGTCTAGGTCACCCTCAGGGACTAGCAGCATGGAGCAGAGATGAGACGCGACCTCGGACAGGAAAGCGAACTCGTACTGCCGGCCCTCCAGGACGTCATCGCCAAGGGGAGAAGCACCCCCGATGGAAAGAGAGCGGGCAGGGTCAGTGACCAGAGTGGTGGCGTAGTCAAGGCGGCGGGTAGAGGCAAATTCAGTGATGGCAGCGACAAGAGCGTCAAGACTGGAGACAGGAACGGACAGTTCGTTAATAAGGGAAGCAATCACACAAGGAACGAGAGGACTAGTGGCAGGAAGGTAGTCAGACAGGGGAGGCGGAGTGACAACAAGCGACGATGGAGGAGGCGATGGGAGAAGGCGAGGACGTGGCACTTGGGAACGGAGCAACGAAGGGTGAGAGCGCTGGACAGGAGAGACAGGACGAGCACGAGAGGGACGGCAAGGTGAGGGAGACGTCATGTCAGGAGACACAGGAGGAGACATAGGAGGAGAACGCGGGGAAGAACGAGCCGGAGACGAGTCCAGTATGAG